ACTGTCGATCAGTTAAAAAATGACAAGAAAAGGAAATAGAATCATCTACTGCTGTGGCAGATGACCCAGGCTCTGACTTTCTCAGATTGACTTGGAAGTCTCCCGCTACACTACCTTTGTCCCATAATTGGCACATGGCGTGACCCGACTTCCTACCAAGAGATAAGCGAAAGGACGGCACAACGTGTGCCCGGGAAAAAAGCTGGGTGCTAGTAAGTGTGGCTCCTCCTGACTCAGACAGCTCTTCTCTGCCGTGATATTAAACAGATTTAAGCGGTGCTTGTTTTAGAAGAAATTCCCTCCTTGGTTCTCATCTATGCATCACTGATAACATACTCTAGTCACTGAGTTAGTAGTCACTAAGTTAGAGAATTGGACAGGTACTGTAGAGTGACTGATGGAAAGAGGAATCTGGCTTAGAAATCCTTGATATCTGGGAGATTTTGAATGACAACATGTCTGGTGATTTTCCAATGGTTCAGCAATGTTGTCTTTTTTTTATTTTGTCAGTCAGTGTAATCCAACAGATCAAAAGGGATATCTTTTGGGAGCTTACAAAATGACAAACAACACCATCTGTCACTTCTATAGTTGCTTCCACTGACACAGTCATTTCTTCAAGCAGAATGAGCGCAGAACAGATGCTAGTACCATAGTTGAACCCTTGTTTTTTGTGAAAGTTTTTTATTGATAAATATGCCCCCAACCTACATTTTATCTAAGGTTGTAGAAGGGGTTATTGTGGCTGACTGTGCTTAGGGAGCACCAGCAGGTTTGATCAGCTAGTGTTCTAGATTTCCTGACACCTGTACGTTCATGCGTAGCTAAAGCTGGATAAGATATTAACATCAAAAATCTAAATAAAAGTCTGATTATACAGTTGTCTCTGGGATTGCTGTGTTTACTAAACATAAGTCGAATGTTGGAAACCTCTACTTTCAATCAAAGCAAGAATATTTTTTTTTACTTTCAAGGTGAAAGTAATTCGCTCTAAAATATTTTTCTTCCCTTCTCCAATAGGTAACCATGGAGAATATTTTATTCTTCCATAGGAGTACTTATGCTAAAAATAGTTTAAAAGGCCCCTTTTGTCCATTTTTTATAAATTGAATAGATGTGTTATGAATCCTAAACTGTGTTTAAGAATATACATTAAATATTAAACTATTCAATTTAGGCTTGGTTTGTCCAAGTAGTTTACATTTTGAGGTAGAGATGATGTTAGCCACTGGCAGTAATTCTACAGTGCCTACAGCTTTGTCATACTGTATCTTGTCTGTCACTCTGATTTGTGTGGGTTTTTTTCTTCTAAGTACCCAGAGTACTGCCAGATTGACCTTTAAAAGTGGTGTAGTCTTTTTTAAGCTCCAGTCTTTTATAGCTTGCATCTTTATTGGACTTCATCTGCACAGCGGGTAACAACTCAAGTGCTACTTTTCTTTGAAAGGAAAGTGTCATACATAGGTTTAGGATGGCAAGATTAAGGCACTTATTTTAACATCAAGAGTTCCCTTAAATAACTTTACAATGCAATAGTATCTGACTGTAGCTGTATAGCACTTGGCTGGAGGTTCCCTAGCATTTCAGTATATCTTACTAAAAAGTCTTGTTGCGCCCCTTCTTTAATGGATTTTTTTTGTCCTTCCCATTTTGAAAAGTGGCACTTTTGTGGATGAGCTGTTAGATAACTTTCATACTAAAATGTCAGTCATCATTGATTCCATTGCTCCCATTTAAGTGAAGGTCATCGTTGAGAAGAAAAGGTTTCGGTGGAGAAATGCTCCACCAGTCAGAAGATGATTGCAGGTGGCGCAAGTTTGGACTCCAGGTTGACTATAACATCCATAAAGAGAGACTCTTAAGAAACAACTTACAGCTGAAAAAAATCAAGAGGATCTTTGTTCTCTGAGATCATCAGCAAAAACGTTAATAATGCTAATGTTTTGTTATTTCACACGCTCAACTAACAAATACACCTGTGACTGTAGCATCTGAACTACACTCTACCATGGCCTGCGACGAATTTGATAACTTTTTTATTGAAGAAAAGTACAGTACTATAGATGTCCCTAACTAGAACGTATTTTCTCCCAATTTAACCAAATAACCTACATAAATGTAGAAGAAATCTTACACCAACTAAGCTCCTCTTCCTGCTGTCTTAATTTTTGTACCCACAGCTTTAAATGTTTTAATTAATATGTCCCTTTTTTTAGGATTTTGTCCCGTAAATGCAGCAATTATCAATCCACTCTTGAAAAAGAGCCGATTGGACAATTTGCTACTGCAGAACTACAGGCCTATCTCAAACCTTCCATTTCATAAATAAACTTATTGAAGAAAGTTGTGTTTCAACAACTAAACCTCTTTCTTAGAATGCCCAGCTGCTTTGACATCTTCCAGTCACACTTCAGAACTCACCTGAGCACAGAGACTGCCCTTGTTAGGGTGACATCCATATACATGTAGACTGTGGAAGAACCACTGTACTGGTATTATCGGATGTTAGTATTTGACACTATTGATCATTCCATTTTACTGCCTTGTTTGGAAAACTGGGTCAGACTTTCAGGTATACCAATCTGCAAAGTTTAAATACTACTGGAAGGACCTGTTTTTTAGTCTCAGTAAGTAACTTTACAATATTGACCAAAAAAATCACATCTAAGGGTGCCCCATTCAATATTTACATGTTCATTCTTACTCGGATTTTAATAAACAACCTATGTTCCCATAATTATGCAGATGAAATACGGCTTTATGTTACAATGTAACCAGGTGAATGTAAACCCATTTAAAAACTGTCTACCTAAGAAATCAATGCATACTGTAGATGTTCCATAATGTTCTTTAGCTGAATTAAAACAAACCTTAATAGTTTTTTGATCAAAGGAGGAGTGTTTAAAAATTTGCACAGTGCATCATTTAATACAACTAGAAACCACTAATGAGTCTCAAAGTCTGGATGCAGTGATGGACTCAGACCTGAAACTTCAAAGGCTCATAAGGGGCTAACAAAGTTGGACTTCTATAGTCTGACGAACATATCCAGAACTAAAGGACCAACATCTCAGCAGGATCTTGAAAAATCAATGAATGACCTCATTTTTAGCAGAATTGATTATTGAAACATTGTCTTTACAGGTCTGCCCAAAAAGTCAGTCAAATAGATGCAATCAATTCTGAATGCTTCTGCCCTAATCCTCACCAAGACTAAGAAAGAAAAGCACATACCAGGTTTTAAAGTCCCTACACTATCTCAGAAAATAGACTTTAAAATACCTGTGTAAATCTCTAAATCTCTAAGTGGCTTTGCACTAATATAGATTATAGACTTGTAGTCAGAGTATTAACCCAACAAATCTCTTGGATGGTCCAGCCAGATTAAACTCATCGTACCTAGAACCAAAAAAACTGAGAAGTAGCTTTTAGTTCAGTTATGCTTGACAATTGTTGAGCCTTGGCAGAAGGCTGCTAACACTGAGCTTGGTTCTGCTGGAGGATTCATCCTGGTAAAACAGATTTTCCTCTCCACTGTTGCTATATGAATGCTTGGTGTGAAGGCTTACTGATTAAAAATTACTGAATTATCTCTTTAGCATGCCACCAAGATGGGCAAAGGCCTGGTAAAGAGCCATTCATTTGATTCAGCTCTATTGGAGTAGGGATGTATCTAAAACTTGCTGGACAGTGAATCTGGAGGATCAGGATTGGAGATGCCTGCTGTTAAGTCAATTATAAAATTCAAGCAAATATCTACTTTTGGCACATGCTCAACCAGAGGGGGCATGTTCTGCAAGTCAGTGACTCGATGCAATCAGCTGGTTTTACTTAGATAGAAAACTTTTTACCATTCTGACTGTAGGATCAAGCTGAATTGAATTAAAAATAAGGGACATTAAGACCTAGAACAAACTTTTAGTTCCACCCAGAAAACTGTAAAGGGGCCGAAACACTAAGTAGCTTTATATACAATTAAAAACCTAAATGTGCTACCTAAACACTTTTGTTCAATTTTGAAGTCCAGCTTTGTTTTCCTTTATTATCAATCATCAATATTTTTTTTTGTTATTAAAGGCTGGAGTCAGCACATGGGGAGTCACCGCACTGATTCTACACATGGGCTAAAATTGTTTAATTTCTAATTTCCAACCATTCTTGAAACAAATACAATGGAAACATTTTACCTGGGCTAAGAAGAAAAGGAATTGGACTGTTGCTTTGTGGTCCAATGACTTGAAAATGTATTTCATTTTTTGTCCCAGAATTACTCTTGATATGTGTCAGGGCAAAAATAAAAATAAATAAAAACTAAATAAAAACAAGACCTGACTGTAGATGTTTATTGGGTCTCAGTCTTAGCTGTTTAGTAATTGCCTTTTTATATTGAAATGTGTCGTTATTTGCTTTGGAAGCTTAAATGAAGCAGTCAAACAAAGAAATGGCTGTATTGAGTGCCTGGGCTTTTTCTGCTGACTGGTGCCTTCTTGGTTGGCTTTTGCCTTGCTAAGCTCATCTTGTCCATTCTCTTATTGGTGATCTGTCATGGTCAGCCCCTCCTCCTCAATGCTGTGCGCTGCTACCATTGTTCTAAAGGACATTTCTTTTGTCGACCTTGTAAAATATCTTTGTGATTCATCTGCTTTGTTCGCTCAGAACAACCCCGGTTTCACTATGCTGATGCTTTTTTTCCCCTAACCAGTTTATTCTTTAGTTTTGTAGGGAAGAATAAATGTAATAGGGTGGTGAAATCACAGGGTGCAGAGGACTGCCCATGCCAGTATTTGTGTGGTAAGACACATGATGTCCCAGGAGCTCATGATACTATTCCTTCTGCGATGTCAGGGCTCAGCACTTTATAAAAAGTGTCAATAGCCACTACACCAAGTCTTGTTTTTTCCTCAATAAAGTCCCATCTGCTTGCAATAATTGTTGGATAGTAATTTGACTACTCACTGGATGCATTTTAACTATTCTAACCTTTTTCTTTAATATTCCAGCCATTCACCTTTTGGGGTTAAACTGGCACCTCCAACCCATGCAGAGACAGATGTACCAGCTGTCAGAAGACAATACAAGTGGCCTACCATTCCCTACAGACTTAAGTTTACCACCACTAGGCAACACAGGGCTGGAGATATCAGATCGCAGGGGAAAAGATGACAGTGAGTACATTTTCTAATCTGTTTTTAGTTATATATACATAGCTAGCAATAGTACTTGCATTCTTTTTCACATGGAAACAATGTGCCTTTTATCTATTTTGTTCAGGCATTACAGCATATGACCAAAAAAAGTAAAATAAATAAATGTGCAGTCTAATTGGCTTTCACACAAGGGACGCAACCGTCCTCTCTCTCTGTTCATTTCCTATGGAATTTGTGCAATGAAGGGACAATTGCTTGCCATCTGACACCTAGGTGACCGTCAAATTTTGGGCATGTGAAATTTTGAGTTTGTGTGCGGAGATATGCACGGTGTGACGGAATACATGTTTTAAAAGTTCAATTTTTGCCACTGTCTGACTGAAGCATTCAGGGTTTAATAGGCACAACAGGAGAGTTTACTACACACTGCAATCTGCAATGACTTTAAAACATGGAGAAAAAACATCATTTTAGTTATGTCCACCTTTCTATATTATGTGATTTCAGTCCATTCAAAGTATTATTTCTTGTTAAATATTATATATTAAATATTATATATATATATATACTCTTATAATATTATATGTATACTCTTCATCCTATATCCCCTGTCTATCACAGACCGCTTGGAAAATATTGAAATCCCTCCAATTTCATAATAAATCTTTTTAAAACCAATTTTAATAAAAATATGGCCTGCATTTGTACAGCCCCGATTCCTTTAATACCCCTTTATTAATCAAGGGAATAAACAGCTATGATCAACACTTAATGTGAGACAAAAACAATCTAGTTTTATCTAGTTTTGTCTCATGGTTTAGAGTTAATATAACTGTAATTTTGACATTCTAGTCAACAAATATTTTATCTAAATCATTCAACAAAGCTTGTGCTGTAGGTTTGAGATTCACCATCCAGCAAAAAGGTCAACTTCAGTTTCAGTCGTAAGTCTTTTACAGCCTCTGGCAGCTTCTTGTCCAGGGTTGTCCTGTATTTAGCTGCACCAATCTTCCAATTAAATATAACAGCTTCCCAGCCCCTGCTGAGGGAAAAAAAAGCATCCTCACAGCATTATGCTGCCAACACCTTTTGTCACTGAGGGTATGGTGTTACATTTTTGATGTCATTTGACCAGGACACTTCCTTTCTACCTTTTTTCTGGTCCTTACAGAAATATACCTAGAGATAAAATATCTTTGGAGAGATGCAGATATAAATAGCTTCACCTGAACCATGAATCTTTCCAGCACGAACTGGGTTAGAATATCCCTTGTGTTTTCTTGAACGGGCATCTCTCAGTAGTCTTTCTTTTTGCCTTGATTTTTGGATGTTGAATTAAACCATGCTCCGTAAGATATCTAATACTTTGGTTTTTGTTTTGGGCTTCAGGCTACTCCCAATTTTTAGGCCTGACCAGTCCTTAGTCTTCATAATGCTGTTTGTTCATGAACTTTCTCTCTGTTTTCGGCTCTGGATTTCAATCATGGGTGCACATACAAACGGGTGAAAGCATTACTACAGTATGCCTACATTTTCTTATACTTATTTGTGCACAAAGTTTAACTGTGTATAATTTCCCTTCATTTTTTCCAAATATAAACTTCAACATATGCTATGTATAAAGCTACCTTAATTAATTTGTGTTTTGACACTTGGCAAGGTTCCCAGTTGCAGGCACTTTAGAAGAACTCTGAACAGCAAACAAACTTCTCAAATCTTGGTTTACAGATGGCATTTCAGAGCTCATGCAAGTTTGTAATTATTTTGTCATCCAACTTCTCTTTGCACTCACCCGTCTCTGCGGCATGCAGAGGGATCTGCATTGTAATCCCATAAAAGTTCTTGTAAGTGGGAAAGTGTTATTTGTTCCTGGAGGGAGAATATGGGACAGCTTAAGGGATGGAGTTTCCAGGGGCCGGAAAGGGATTAGCTACTCTGTCCCCTTCAGAACGGATGTGATCCTTTCATCTTCCAGCTTGGACTGTCTTTCCTGGCAACCAAAGAAAGAATGTGATCACCCTATGGTCCCAACTGCTCAAATCAGGGAAAGTTTTCTCTGCTCTGCTCTTGGGCAAATGGCCCCAGATTTAAACCATGTGCTTTGCCACTGGCAGACTACAATAGGTTGAAGTAGAAGTTATTACCATATAAATTAATCCTGGAGTTGTCTTTTACATTTACCAGACAAAGGAATGTGTGTTTAGCTAACAACAGGCATGACTACAGCAAAACTCAGAGGCCTGTACCAAAGCTACTGCTGATAGGAAGTCAATAGACATAGTTTTTCAAATAGTTTTATTTTCCACTCCTGTCACCAAAAACAATGCATAACTATTTAAAGTTTTATGAAGATGAAGCAAACATAGGCACCATGGAAAGGCTTCTCTTCGAGCCTTTTGTATCCATCAGGGCATTATGCTGCAGTTTAGCTTGCATTACAAAAAAAATGTTTAACTATGAGGGCCATTATCACCAGTGTTGCCTTATAATTTATTTAAACAGTCTGATGAGCACATCTTTAATGTGCTGCATAAATTCACATAGACACACATACACCCCGTCCTCATAGGTGGAAACAGAGCTAGCCGGCTGTAGTATTATGTAAAGCCCTGATCAGGGAGTCGGGGACTATGCCCTGTCTTCTCTGATAAACCTCCATTGTCAATGATGGACTTTTGAGAGGACTTCCATCTGGTGTGCCACGTGTAACCTAAAGCCGAGTCTGCTTCCATGTCCTGGGGGGAGATTGTATGGATGGCTGCTGTAGCTGGCATCGCCACTGAAATTAGCTCATCTACACAGTCAAACAGATGTTGCCTTTTCCACAGAGTCCAATATAAGTTGTGTTATGGAGCATATGGGTGATTTTACAGGTAAATGTGCTAATACCCAAGCAGGTAATAGCAACTAAATTCCCTCTTTACTCTAGTTACTAATTTAAGTCCTCTATATTAAGAAGCTTGTATTTTACTCGTCTTTCATTCCTTTTGCCCTGTATTATTGCTCCTATAACCCTAACAAAATATATTTAAAAAATCCATTTTAGTTTTTAAGAAAGTATGTTTATAACATTTAATTTAGTATTCTTATCTATTATATATATGTGTATATATATATTTAAGTGTGGATAAAAAGCAAGAACATAGCATTACCAAGTGAATACAACATTTTGATGTTGAATACAACATAAGAAAAAAAAAAGGAACATGAAAAACTTGAGAAATACCAGGAGCTGGAGAAAACCTGGAAGGTCAAGACATCGGTGGTGCCCGTGGTCATTGGGTCACTCGGGGCAGTGACCCCCAAACTTGAGGAGGGGTTACAGCAAATCCTTGGAAATGCATCAGACATCTCGGTCCAGAAAAGTGCAGTTCTAGGAACAGCAAAAATACTGATACTGGCAGAACCCTCAAGCTTGAGCACCTAGAACAAGTGAAGGACCTAAGCACCCTGAGGCAAGACCTTAGGGTCTTGCATATATATTTATATAAATTCCTTAATTGGGATTTATTCATTCATCAGTGGACAAAAATATCAGCTACAAAATTTTCCAAGCTGATAGAGACCATAGAGAATGTAATATCTGGAGCTACATAATTCTAACAAGATTTTCTACTTTTTATATTTACGCAGTCCACACTTTTAAGATTTCCATTTGCAAATCAAATGTAATTTTCTCTAAAGTCATAGTAATGCTATTTTTTCAATGAGAAAGCTGAGAAGTTCAGAGAGCATGATGCTGTTTGCAAGGCACTGTGTGAGATTAAACTCTTTCTGATATTACTTTCTTACTTACCCTCCTCCTCCTGCCTAACTGGTGATCACTGCCAGTGGTCAGAGAGATCATTCATTATATTTTTTCTCTGGCTGTCAGCAATGTGATTAAATATCTATGATATGGTCAGACCCTTTCCTCAGCAGACCAACTCTCGCTGCTCCTCTGCTCACTGGATTAATGATGTGATCTCTTTGACTGATTAACTCTGTGTGCAATGCAGGCAAATTGGACACCTTGTTCCCGGATGACAGCTATATAGATATGGGGGAGATTGACGTGGGACGCAAGGTCGCCCAGCAGATTCCTCCTGGTATCTTCTGGAGATCCCAGGTCTTCATCGATCATCCCATGTACCTAAAGTTTAACATGTCACTCAGCAAAGATGCCTTAGTTGGAGTGTATGGAAGAAGAGGCCTTCCTCCGTCACACACACAGGTGGGAAATGTTCACATATTCTTGAAATATTATCTTTATATTATGCTTTGTCTTTGGTTATGGTTGTTATTTTGGTAAATATCTTTTCTGTGGGCACAACTGTTTTATTATTCCTTCTGATATATGCCATACAAGGATATCTTCTTTCTCTTAGGGCAGAGAAAGCATTGCTTTTATCTGTCTCCTGTGCCTCAGTTTGTTCTAAAAATCAAAATCTAGCCATTGCAAAGAAATCAGATGACAAGATATTCACCTACGTCCTCTCTTTTTTGATTTAGTTATCATATCCTGGGCAAAGTTTTTTATTTTTGTTTTTGCAGTGGTCCCATTGTTTCCATTTCTGCTGAAGCTGCCTGATGTTTTTGCAACATATTCCCAAGTTTCTTCACTGCCTGTGTTGTTATTACTTTACCAGTTCGGTTACTTTATATTGTCAATTTTCAATTTCCACCATATCTTTTGCAGGAAGACAAACTGAAATGTACTTTATCTCCCCTAGAAAACATTTTAAATGCAGTTTTTCAGTCTAATTGGTAGCATAAAGACCATGCCAAAAAGGTCAAATTTCAGAGAAATTAATCAGCAAGACCTGCTGTGCGAGCATAGCCTTGGTTGTTTTTTATTATTTTATTTTTTTTTCAAGCAAGGCAGCTCAGAAGTTCATACAGTCAAGAGGTGCTTAAAATGGAGCTATGTGACCTTCCTTTTTAACAGAAATGAGTACAAAAGGTTAACTATCCATTGCTAGAGATGTTTCAAATACTCAAAAAAAATAAAAAAGTAAACTATGAAAGAGTCTCCACTCTATCTTGGAGAGAAATAAAAATCAAACTGGAGTGTATTGTGTCAAAATCATTTAACTTGCAAGGAAAACAGGAATACAGTGTGCCACCGATAATGCAGGATGGTTTAGCAGTGATTTGGGTTTATTCAGCTTTTTGGAATGAAATGTAGCTGCATATATAACTCTCACTTCTCTGGAGAAATAAAAAAAGAGCATTTCTTGGTAAACAATGATGTGCTGCATTATCATCACCAACCAGTAAGGAGAGACAAACAGCACAGTCTCCTGTTTACATCCCAGTTCACATAAACAAATCCTACCATGCTAAATTATGCTCATATATTTAAATTGTAGCGAAAAACAAGTACAGTTTTTATGTCACTAATGTAACAATTTAAAGTAAGTCTTATTTAAAAAATACTAAGTACAGCTCCTACTGTAATAAAATTGCTTAAGTACTGTAACAGATAAACTGCACTTTGCTATATACTTCTGCCCATTGGTACTACAAGAATTGTTGAAAGACTAAGCTTAAATATGCATTCTTTTTTCACTTACCACTTAAAATGTTAAATTTAAGAGTTGGAAGACTGAACAGAAAGATCCCATGAAGTCTTTGAATACTCTGACCTTAATAGATATGGCTGCTTTGGATGCAAAACAGTGATATTTGCAGCAAAAAGTTAAAGTAGTGCAGATGATTTCTACTTTTTCAAACTGCTTACATAAATTGGCATCTACAAAAGTTTAAAGTACAACTTCCAAGAAATACATTGCATTATTAGCTTGCATTGGTTAGGTTATCAATGGGTGAATTCCGCAAGTTTATAAACTTTAAATAGAAATTGAGAGAAAGATTTACTGTATTTGATCCAGGATCCAACTTTAAAAGATCACTAGAAGTTTGGAGAATAGGATTTAGCTCTTACTTCTGTCAGAAGTTTTTTTTTCACTTACAAATGGAAGGAAGAGTTCCTTTAGGCTATTATTTAAGTTCCATTTCATTTAGTACCACATGTTAGGTACCACATGCTTCTATTTTAGAGATTAAAATATGATTTTCTGAAGAAATTAAATACCGTTATGATGTCTCATATGTAGATGTTGTCCTTTATCTTTATTTTAATAAATAGATTTTTTTTTTACACTAAAACTCATACACACTGTAAGAGCATAGCCATTTAAAAATCAAAAATATTTGACATATCTTGCTTACAAGATCTTAGACCAAAGTTAAATCAGGAAACAAGCATTCTGAAGCAGGGAATAGTTTTAATGTCTGACACACAAATCACTTTATATTTGTTTTCTTTTTCAACTACATAAATTTATTGAAGGTTGAATATTGTAATATAAAGAATTTAAGTTTAAGTTACTTAGATTTTACATAGCGAAGGTAGAAGTTAACCCAGGAGCCAAAAAGCTGAAAAATAGCCCTAACCCTATATCTTGTTCCCAAAGCTTAATTTGAGAATTGTGATTTGTTAAAATTTAAGTGGAAATTTTAATTCATAGGAACCCTGCAATTCTTTTAAAGCTAAGCTTAAAATGTCCTGTTAGCTTAAAGGTGGCATATTTCAGTAGTATTTCTTCCAGTTTTGTGAAGGGAGTTTTCTTCCTCTCTTTTTTCATCACAGTGGTGAATTAAAAATGCCATGCTGTGAAACCATTTACAATCATAGCTGCATGGCGTAATATTCATTTTTGTTTTTCATTCCTCTTCATCTACAGAAAACAAATTAGACTAGTCTTTAAAAAGGGACTTACTATGTTGGAGTGTGTCATGAATACAAAATGGCTGATAAATGTCTTTATTGTATTATGAATCACCTTCTTTGTTGCATTTGAAATTTATGGCAATTTTCTTTGAGGTTCAGTACCATCAATGAATCAAACAAAGATAGTGGACTTATGATACTTAGATTTTTCTTTTCACTAATTTCCCATCTACGTGCCGTACAGACTGAAATGTGTTATTGTATTAATCACTTTTGACGCCTTGCTTCTGCAGACTACAGATTTCTGCTCTGAGTGATGCACAAGTTCTGCAAATTGTACATAGCATGATTTTTGTTTGTGCTAATGTGCAATATAACTATTTTTTCCAGTTGAAAAATCAGCCTTGTCTTCTTATCCTCCATTTTCACTTCAGAGAAAATAATCCAGAGTCGAGTATTCATCCAAAGACTGAACACACGAGTCAGGATTCTTTTCACTCTGTGGATAAAAACGAAATGCTGCCTCATTGGTATTCATTGACTCTCCACTGATATGAAGCATATCAGAGCAGATGTTATTTGGTAAACACTAACTTTACATTTAATTTTCCCGACTATCCATTTTTCAGTTTAATAATTTCAAACAACACTTTCATGTAAGATATTTGGACTTTGAAATTATCACAGCCTATCCAGCAGAGCTGTGTCAAGGCTTAACTCAGGCTCCTCTGGAATGATGAGTTATTCATGCTCACCAAATGATGCTCTGCTATAAAGAGGGCTGAAAGTACCGGAGTCTCATGTGTCACTCCTAATGGCATTTCTGTGGTCCATCCATCAGTTTATTCTCACTCTCTGTCTGCAGTTTGACTTTGTAGAACTGTTGGATGGGCGGCGGCTCCTGGCCCAGGATGTTCACCGTCTGGAGGGGCCTGCAGCTCTGCAGCGGAGTCTCATACCAATCACTACACATGACACAGGCTTTATTCAGTACATGGACTCGGGCATCTGGCACCTGGCCGTCTACAATGATGGGAAAGAAACCGAAACTGTTTCCTTCCTTACCACTGCCATAGGTGAGTGCCGCAGGCATGGCCTGCTAATGAAACCTGTAATATCTATCCCTAATCCTTATAATATCAGCCTGCAGCATCCTGCAGCAAATAGTGCAGAACTGGGGCAAAAGTAAGAGATACAGCTTGATTTCAGTGGTTGAAGAGAGTTTGGGTTAATCAAGGTGAAATGGAATATTACAAAATCAGGACATCAGCGCGATCCCGCCATGCCACAGAGAAGGGCGTTGAGAGATCTTAATATCCTCATTAGCCTGAGTGTCTTCCAAGCGAATCAGGGGTCCAGCTTCTGGGAAACATTTGCATACAATTCAAAGTATGATTGTCCCCTCCTGCTAGTCCCCATTTTTTGATCACGGTTTGCTCCAATTTCCATCTGCTTACCATAAATCAAAGACGGGAAGATATTTCTCAGCTCCGACTCCGGAGTGGAACGCCACTGTGTTTTGCACGCATGTCCTTCTTATGGAGGTGACTCCGTTTTGTACGATGCTCTTTGTTCTCCTTAAGCGCCTTTGATTAGTGCTGCTGTATCAAGCAAGGTGTGAGAGGGCCCGAGGTGTCGACTTTCACAGGGATGGCAGCTGGGAGCTGTTCTCACATGCTCTTTAATTAAAAGCTCTCGGGCCACGGTCCATATGTGACAGTGGCTGTGCCAGGCAGCAGATCGATGAGAGGCTGTCCTCGAGTGAAGACGAGCAGGAGATGCACTGTGCTCCTGCTGTGCCAACAACAACTGTAATTTGATGCTTAAAATATGATACGACACAAAAGGGAGGGGTTGGTGAGGTGGCGCCATGTTTGCTTTTGCTTAGTTCTTCTTGACTGGATGTGCGCAAAGCCCTCCTGTGGTTTGCATAAGAGAAAACATGTCTAGATAAAGTATTCAGTGCATTGGATGGGGTAGGGCAGAGTTAGTTGAAGCAAGAAGACTGCCTCTGTTCGTTTGTATAGGAGCCGATCTGCTCACCGGAGCTCAGAGGGAGGCAGAGGGGCCCTTCTAAAATGGGTCACCGGTTAAGTGCCCTTCAGCAGAAATTGAATCCACCGCCTGCCTGAATCATATTGAGCTGTGGAGGGATGGAGTTGACCTTCAAATAGAGCAGCCCAGGTATAGAAATATATGTGTGCAATATCCAGAACAGGCAGACGGTGAAACACAAGCAGCATTGTTTAAAAGACACTCGCAATGAAATTATTTTAGTATCCCTGGCAGCTTTGGGTGGAAAAAAAAGTGTCATTTTACAACCTCATGCTCTTTACATGCATTAAATGGAAGCTTTTCTTGCTGCCTACCACCATAACAGCACAGTGGAAACCAGATATTCTCTTTTCCTCACTTTGTGACATTAAATTAGACTAAATATTTCCTGCTCTAGGTCAATAACAATTACCATGCTGTTTTTTTATTTTATGAATGCCAGAACATGATTTCTTTTATCACTTTGTCCGAAGTTAAGCAGAGTTTTAAATGCACTAAAATTACTTTGCCTGTAAGTAACTTAGCCCGGATGCTAAGAACAAAATGTAGGTCTAATTTAGGCAAATGAACATTAGCATGCTCCAAAGCTCTTTAAAAACTTGCTTAACCACACAAAGACTCTCATTCCCAAAGAAAATTTTTGGCAGAGCCAAAAGGTGCATGTGAAAAAAGTGAATTAAAAATATCTTTCTAGACAAATGGGAAAGTATTCCTCCTACTAAACTTTGTTTACACTACTGTCCGGTTCTTGTGGAAGAAGTGAAGAGAAACTAGAACAAAAGTCATACAATTTAAGAGCAATTACTGAGAAAATGTATCAACATTTCTTTGATTAAGAGTATAATGACTTTGGTAAATCTAACTGACCTAAAACAAGGAAGGATATACCCGACTGAAAGTCAGACAAGGAGCCAAAAGGTTTCAAAGGATGTTTACAAATATCAAGGCTACAGCCAAAGTTCAGATTATAAAATTGCACATTTTTCAGATTTTTTTCTATTCCCGTACATAAACGTATTTTTTAATTAATAGGAAAATGCACGATAACAAATAATTTTGTTACTTAAAATGCAATAGTTTAGCATGTCTTTATTGTACACTTGAAAGGCAATACCTTAAGAACAGGAAGTTAATAAAAAAAAAAAGAGATTTCTTTTTGTTAACTTATAACAATAGAGTGCTAGCTGCATCTGGAGAGAAAAACAAACAAAAAAGTGCATGGAGTGGACACTTGCATTTAGTGTTGTATTGGTTAAAGTGCAAAATAATATAACGATAATTGCAGTTGCTTATGTAAAGCTAAACAGCAAATTTAAGCATACCGTAATAAACAACTGCATTTTAAATATCAAACCTTGCTTTCTGTTTTCTATGTTCATTACCTGCAGAGGTGTTGTATATGGAGATGTTCCATCAGGAAGATACATATTCCTGGTGTGCTTTCAAAGCCCGAGTCGAAAATCAACAGGCAACTTAATTGCAAATTAGCACATCAGGGGGGAGTCCCGTGGGGTGGAGGGAAAGGGCTACAGCTGATGCTTCCTGCTCAGGTGTTGAGGCGTCAAGGATGTGCTATGGAATGCTAGTTCAGTTTTGCATTACAGATACTGGGTTGTCTTTTCTTTTTTGTTTAAAGTGATCTCACTGCTGTACTTTCTTTTGCTACTTCTTATTTCCTTATGGCATTTTTCTCGATAGCTGATTATAGCTTTTCGCAACCACATATCACCAGCATAGGCTGTCATTAGCGGCAGGGAGAGTGTTGTCCGAGTGCAAATATAGCTATCTGGCTGGAACATGGTGCACTGAATAGTTAAAGCGAATTCAACATTGCCTCCAGGCAGATCATTTGCCTCTTGGAATTTCAGTAATCAAGTCATTCAAATTATTCACATCATCATTTCAGCATTTACACAAACTTCTGGTTTCAGCAGTGTATCTGAGAGATAAAACATCTTTGATCTAGGTTGCTCCATGGCAATGTATAATCTAACCTTGCTTGTGCCAGACATGCATTTAGTCCTACATTTCTGGTGAAAGTAAAGACAGTAAATCCCAGCAGCATTGTCTTTCTTTTTACCCTGACTCACTCCATCACCGAGGTGCTTTCTATCTGCAGCCAGCCATCTTTCAAAGGTGTTGAGCATCCTCTGAGAGCATGGCAAGTTGCTGATTAAACCACCAGCTCCTGAGCCCAGCTCTGTCCTCGCCGACTGGAGAGACTCACAATAGTTAGTTCCCCTGATATGAAGGGTAATGAATTTCAATGAAGCTTAGCTTGAATCCGTGATTTATGCGTTGGCCTATGTCGAGTGTGTGGCTAAGAGATATTCATGGCCTCCCTTCCTTGCTCTCAGAGGAATCACAGCCAACAGACGTGGGCACTGTGTAATCTGCTAAACTGTGCCAGCTTTTAAAGTAAGAGCACAGCACAGTTCAGGTTCAACTGGCTGTATAGCGTTTGCTTTAGTGATGTTCATAATATTTGCTGATTAATTGGACCTAGGCTGTTCTCAGGAGGATTATGTCTGATGTACATTGGTTTTACTTATAAGAATACCTCTGTATACTATAGGGCCTGGTTTGTACACCTTGAACTTTTCCACAATTTCTTAGACAGTAGCAGAAATGCTAAGGTATTCAGGTGGGATTTTATCTGATTGACCTATACAAAGTGGTACTTATCACAAGTTAAAATACGAGAAGTGTGGGTATATTTCTTAGAGATCCACAGATCGGAATTGGATATTGACCCTGACATTAACTAATCGGGTATTGGTGAATGATGCCAATCCAGTCATTTATTTTTTTGTTAATATCATACACAGCAATAGAGTTACAGTGTTCTAATCAATTCACTTGTTTGTTTGCAATGACATTTATGTCATCACACAGATAAAGCATAACAGCTCATGATCATTTATATCTGGATTCACTTTTTAACATTTTTTAACAATGTTTATGTCAAGCCTGATGCCTTTACTCAAATGGCAAGCTATCTTGTTCCTTCATTCATAAGAAGTGTTGGAAAGATATTTCCAAAATGTAATATTTTCCATATTAAAAGTTACCTATGTTAGAAAGTAATACACTTCTTTACAATATTCCCATCTTTATAAAGTAATAATTATTGATTAATTTTTAGTTACTTTGGCCAAAATAAGCATTAAGGATAAGGTATTACAAAATTAATGTGTGCAATATTTTTAATAAAAGGCTGAATTACAAAAATAAGATCATTTTGAATAACTAAACAGGAAAACACTTTTATTTGGTAACTACTTAAAGGCTAAAAAACATATTTTTTATTATATATAAATTTGTGTGTCAAGAGGTTAAATAAACTATCTGCGGAAACCTGTTTACAGAGCTACAACATTAGAAATTGTTTTTTTTTCCTTGTCAATTGGTCAAACAGGGATTTCTTGAACAAGCTTTTTGTCAGGATTAGGATTATTATTAAACACATATGACCCAGCTGTAGAAAGAGGTAACGCATCCTCTACAACATACTCAACCACCAGCCTTCTCTCTTGTCCTTGATCAAACATCTTCACAGGTCTAAAGAAATCCAACTTTCATTGTTTAGATTTGCTCATTCCATCCTCTTCCGACCATTTGCTGGTTAGAGGTCGTCAGACAGTTCTCTCGCCCGCCCACCAGCACAGAAAGTACATCTCACTGTGGTGTTCTTATCCATTTCTGCGACATCATCAAAATAGTATAGACATTTGGAAACAATGAATTGATTGTAGCTATATTGCCACCGCCACCGTCTTCTTATTCTGTTTTTAAAACCGTATTCTTCTTCTGTTGCTTTTAGAACCATCTTCTTTTGCTTCTTTTATTCTTAAAACCGTCTTCTTCTGTTGTTTTAAAAGGACACCCACGAAAAAACAGATTTGTTGTTTTTAAAGCTGTTGGCCTTGGGCGTTTCAGCTCAGATTGTAATGCATTTACCCACCTTGATAACTGTTATAATATTACTAAAATTAAATGTGTAATGCGTTATATTACTCAGTTACTGCTGAACGTAATATATTACAGTAATGCGTTACTTGTGTAACTAATGCGTAATGCGTTACCCCCACTGTTCATAAGTAGTATTTGATGGTATCGGGTATTGGTCAATATGCTCTGCCCAGGTATCAGAATCAGATTAGATCGGGAAAAAAACTGTATCGGTGTACCACTAACATTTGAAGTTGAAAATAAAACCTAGTGCAACCAGAAAGTCTGTTATTGAATTGCGATAATATTCTGCTGTTTTAAAGGGTGTAGAGATTTGCTACAAAACATTAGTAGATAATAGTTAGTAGCAAAACAGTATCATGAAGACCACCTCAAGAGCACCAGGCTTACTATATGGATAAGCACAGTGTTGGTAGCATCATACTGTGTCTTTAGATGCTTCCCCATAACTGCTGTGCAACACAGCTACAGGACATCCTTCCAGCCTATAGCCATCAAATCAACAACTACCCATTAAAAATAAACCTTTCATATAAATAACAATGTTTCATTTTTTGGGAGTGATAAAAATGTTTTAATTGAATTGAATTTCAAAAAGGGGTCTGAAAATTTAGAATGCATAGACATGTAAACACATGACAATGCCACTTAGACTTAAAAAGAAAAATGCAGCTTTGACAAGGCCATTCCTGTAGTGCTTTTTCTTTATACTTTGTACCTTATACATAACAAGACTAATGGGGAATTAACCCCAAAAAAGCATGGTTAGTCTTTACAGCAGATGGAGTGACCTAATTGGTATGATTGTCTGGTATACAATGAATTCAGCCCCACTTGCAGTATCCATATAAACTAACATGACCATCTGATCAAGTGGTTATGACACTGACAAGAAAGTTAAGACTGACTTGATAAATGTCCTATAACGATAAGATGAATGAATGTTAACGGGCACAAAAAAACCTGACAGTGGGGGGTTAACTTCCTGCTGGATAAAAACTGTAAACAAATGGCAGGTGATAAAATGGATTGATGAAGACTTGTCAGCATCCACATGTCACTGCAGTTAGGAACCATCAGCAGAACATCGAAATGACTACTAACTGAGACTATTGGAAATTGTGCCCAAAACGCTGCAAAAATCTGCACTTTTGAATTCTCAATAATTAATTTTAAACACAAATGGGAATTTCTAATGCTGAGCGAACACATGCAACATATCTTTTGTAACCCTGACCTCTGTGACCCAAGGACGCTGATGATGTTTTTAGCCTTGTACACAAAAATCCTTCTCCTCCTTGTGTACTTATTTTGGTTGGAGGCAATCAAAGCCCACCAAACCAGCCAGTTCCTCCACTACATCAGAGGACGGTCTTCCCTTCATCCCTTAACTAACCCAACGTGGCATAGGGAAGCCTAGAGCACAATAACAGCCTCCCCCCTCCTCTGTGGCTTTACAGTCTGTCTCTGGTATGGCTGTATCTCTTTCTCCCTCACTGTCTTTGTCTTTTTCTGTCTGTCTTCCATTGCATCCTTAGTGATGATTGACTCTCCGGGGTAAAGGGAAGCTGAATCCATGGCTCCAGTTTCTTGCTATTTGTGTAGTACAAGTGATTCTTTGTTCAATAAGTTTTAGCCCTGGAGTTTCTGCTGCCTGAGGGCAGTGGACAAGATTGGATATTTTTTCAGGACCATTTCAGACTTAATTCACTGAGCATCATGTTTCAGTGCTGTGCTGCTCTCTTTGGAGATCACTGGCCGGTCTTGTTTCTAATAAATGGAAGTGTGTGAGCACAGTGCTGTATTAAGTGTTTTATGGCAGTATATTAGAAAATATTTCAGAGACAAATAATGGACTTCTGTGTTTTTTTTTTTAGAAAAGAGAATCTTGAATTTCCTTGTTAATAAGATTTTTCTACCATTTTAAGAAAGAGAAGCACTCTGCCTCTATTTGACTTTGAAATACATCAAAATGTAAAATATTCAAGGTTTCTACACAGTATTGGATGCAAGATAAATCTGGAGTTTTATGAAGTATTTTCAAGATCTGGTTAAATATGGAAACAGGAAATAAAATATACTATAAATGTTCTTTTGCATACTTAATACATTTTTGCAATATCTGAAGATTCCATCCAGTCTAACTGTTGCCCTACTGTAGTTTTCACATGAGTAAATGCATTTTTTTCATGGATTAAGGCTAAAGTTTTGTGTTATAGATTTTGATTTACCAATTGCCTGCTCCTTTAAGATTCTGAGAAACTCGGCTCTGAAAAGAAATTGAATTTTGACATAATTGATTAGGATTATTGAAAACAACTTTTCAAAGTAACACAATTTAAAGAACTTAAAATTTTGATGGAGAACATATTTAATTGTATAACTCCAAAAAAATGAAACCAGCTTTAACACCCAACCGATTATTACAAACAGATTCCTTACACTTTTACGGTGCAGATAAAGATATGTTCACATTAATTTTACTCAATTTCATAATCATTTTTGTTCATGTTAATTTGACCTAATCTTAAATTACACTTAAAAATGTAAAATGTATTAATTGACTGTGTTTTTCAATTATAATTTAAAGTTACTGTTAAAGGTACTATAGTGGAGGATGCTCTATTTCTGGATGGATCATCTAAATAAGCGGTCCTCTGAAATGTCAATCATTCTGCTGATATGGTTTCATAAGGCCTTCCTACATGCTCGTCCCCATTTTCACTTACCGGTGGTGAGTCTGACATTGTGGAAAAATTGCAAATTTTCTTTTGGAAACTAAGCTTGTATGAGCGATGCAAACAGCAACACTTAAACAGAGCGTGCACAAGGAGAAATGGGCTTGTGCATGCTCTTCCATTTAATTCCCTCTCGAGAGCGGGTACATGCGGGTACATGTGCTCTTTTTTTTAAGTGGAGAGGGCGGGTCTTCACGAAGATCCTCCACTATACCTTTGACTTAGGAAAAACAGGTCTCTTTAATATAAATTATCAAGAGTATGTTTCATATTACCCATTTGATTACAGTCCAACTGCAATTAGACAAAATGCCAAGGAAACAATCCAGAGTATCTCTGGAGTTGCTTTCGCAATAGCCATAGCTGCTTTACGTGTTGCGTTTAAAAAATAAAGCACTTGATGAACAGGCAAAGGAGGAATTAAAAGTGTTCTGCTCATTTATACCTTTGCTGACAGCACAACAAAAACACAAAGCACTTGTTTGTACGTGTGAATGTTCCACTGTTGCTGACATCATCTTGCAATCAGCACATCAAATTACAGTAGGATTCACAAATGTTGCAATGTTTGCCTGTTCAACAGTTGGGTAATTTGAGAGTTTTAAGAATTTAAATTATTTGTCATTTTGGTCAGAAGCATAAGTAATCACAACTCGTTCCCCCTCGTCATGAATGTGCCCATTTGTGTTGAACATAAGTAACACTCAAATGTGTTGCATGCAGTGAAATATAAACGTCGAGGCTGATGGAGCGTGTGCTCATCGCTGTCATTAGCAAAGGGAAATAATCAGCAGAAGGAAATGAGTGGCGTGAAAATTGTTTTTCCTCCTTTTTTTTTTCTAATCACACTACTCAGAAAATCTCTTGATTGCTCACTCGTAGATTCCATTGATGACTGTCCCAGTAACTGCTTTGGAAACGGTGACTGTGTTGCTGGAACATGCCACTGCTTTTTAGGATTCAAAGGGCCTGACTGTGGGCGAGGTGAGTCGCTTTCACGAATACTTTCATTTATCTCCATCTTTCAGATATATTTTATGCCACTATGATGATCCCTTTAATGGCTTTTGTGCGTTGGGAAAAAGCATTTTATCTTATTGTAGCATTTATCTGTACCTCACTGATACAAAGCCAAATTATTTATTTTTTCCACACAGAGTTAATATTTTATGTTTATTTTCTTAAATACTGCATTGTTGGTTTATTGCCTTTGGGAATATTATAGTAGAATTTATTATATATAACAAGTATTACACTTATTGGCACCCCTTACACATTAATGAAACATTCTGATACAGATTTGTAATTTCTATTTTGGTTTTATTGTTGATTAGAATATGGAAGAATCGTTATTGACTTATTTGCCTACAGCATAAATTTTTTTTTCACAAAGAGGTTAAATTCTGTTAGAATAATAAGATAGAAAACTTTGAACCAATCTGACTGTATAGTACGGTTGTGAATTGGTGCTATATAAATAAAGTGAATTGAACTAGCTGACCCACACAATAGGAAACAAAAGAAAACAGGACTTTCTACTCAGACAGATTTATCTTAGCTCTCATACGTCAGACTATAGCTACATGAAAAGAGCTGTTTACCCAAATTTCTCTATTTGTAATTCAGAGCATGTATTGTCGTCCTGACATCGTGTTTTTATCTATTTCTTTTTATGTATTCCTAAATGCTTATATAATATAACAATTTAAAAACTTTGAGCTCCATTTAGGACACAACAGGTATCTCCTAATAGTTCCTGTTTTTTTTTTCTTTCTGCTATATATCTGTCTTTTTAGATACTATACCCTAGAGTATAAATAATTTAAATATAAAAAACAGCATTAAATTATTGAAGTGTTTAATGCTTAATGTCTGATGTTAGTGTTTTAGACATTAGTTTAATGATGCTCTAAATCTGATTTTCATTTTAATTATCAATTTAATCTTAATTACCAAACATGTTAATGTCCCAAAGTTTCTGTAGGGTCTTTATAAGAGTTTTCATTTATTCATCTGTTTAAAATGTAATTTATTTATATCCTACATTTGTAAATATTTTGCTTCTTTTCGTCTCTGTGGATTTTGTGTTGCCACAACCAACATTAATTATTCATTTGCACCGACCAAACTTTATGCTCATGAAGCAGAGCAGCAACCAGCCCGGCTGAAGGGAATGTTAGCCATTTTTTAGAGCAACAAAAGAGATCTGGTTTTAAGTCAAGTGGATTTTTTTTTTTTTTCTGCTTTTCAAATAAAAACCTAATTATCGTTGTTGCTTGGTTTAAAACGAGCCCCTTTATGAAACATCTCAGCTTTGAGGTTTGACAAGAGGTGGCTAAAACCATTGAATATTAGGCTTATTTGGGGGCTTAAGTCGGCTCTGTAAGCAGAATACTATCTAAATGCAGTTTGAAACATTTAACCTACATTTATAAAATAAACACAATTTATTTAAGATGACAAGTTTTACAAACAAGTCAAAGTGTGCACAGTGAGAAGTATTAAAACAGTATCTTAATATCTGATGTGGTTCAATGACAACAGAAACACTTTACCTCCTTATACGGCTTGGTGTTTTTTGAGAGTGATTACTCCATTTAAATGTATGACTGGTCCTTTTTTATCTATCCTCAGCTGCCTGTCCAGTCCTGTGCAGTGGGAATGGCCAGTACCTAAAAGGACGTTGCATGTGCCACAGTGGCTGGAAGGGTTCCGAATGTGACGTTCCCACCAGCCAGTGCATCGACATCACCTGCAGTGGTCATGGAACCTGCATTGTTGGAACCTGCATCTGCAATCCTGGTTACAAAGGAGAGAACTGTGAAGAAGGTGCTTGCTTTCAAAGTTATAACTGGGCCTTACCCAATAAAAATTCATGTAATGTGACTGTAGCTCACATCGTCTATTAAACTATTAGAGCTAGAAATTTAAATCAGGTACTCATGGGGGTTGGGTTTCTTTTAGAGCTCACAGCTTGAAGTCTTTAGAAGTATGTGAATAGACATAGCTCTGCGACTTCTACATCCTATGTGACTTTGCTTTTATAAACTATGCATATGAGGCAACATAATTGTGCATTTATTGTCTGATGTTCAGGCATAAATTCTGATGGTAATCTAGGGAAAACCCCACCTCTATTTGTCACTAGATAAGGTTTGAGTAGATAAGATTGAAGGAGCCATTGTGTTTGTCAACTTTTGAAGGCTCTCATTTCAAGATGAAAAATGGACCCTGGGACTTTGATAAATGGGGTTTGTGACATCCATAGGCTCCCATTCTATTTTAGGTGGAGTGTTAGCCATAAGGAGTAGGAGGGAATGTGCATGAGGGCCCTTTAACATTTTTACCTTTCTTCCGTGTGACCTTCAGCAGCAATGATTAATTGCCAGGAGTGAGTTTCTTGTCAGTTAGCCTCTGATCTCTGTGCCTTGTGCCCAAACCATCTGCTAAGAGGGGAGAGATCCCGTTTGTCTGGTTATAGCAGCCTTTATATCCTTTTTTTTGTCATGATAAAGGAGACCTGCCATGGCGTGGCCTACTGCTCTCACAGGCTAGACATTGCTCCTACTTGGCATCCGTTTGCCATCTGTGTACACAAATATTCTATAGCTACAATGCTGATATAGTGATTATACGCCTCTGCAACTGTTGCTCATTAAAGCCAGCCAGTGATAAAGTGATAAAGAAAATAGGCTTTACTTCACATTGTACATTACCTTCCATTCGCAAAGCACAGTTTAAACATTTGTCAAGTTAAAACTAGAAACTCCACATTTTCTTATGAAGTCATCACTATAAACAAAAATATTAAAGCAAAGTAAAACTAATAAAAGGCACCTACTAGACTTGAAGATTGTTTTTTTCCTCTAGTAGTCTGCTTAAAGACTTTTATTTACTTTGAAAAATACAGTATGTGGTTTTCATTTTTCCCAGCTATCCATTTAATGAACAAAACTACTCCTTCTGAGGATTTTTTTTACGCATGAAGTAAATGGAGAATGCCAGTAGAAGTGTGGGTTGAACCTGTAGGATTGTGCCATTACACCCACTGAGCAAACAGCCATTTAATTTGTTTCTATGTAAATCTTTTCTCCGATTTCTAGAAAAATGGCATTTTCTGTTTGTTCTCTCTGTACCCCCATTGTTCATGTGCTAAGCTGCTTGCTGCTGCTTTTGAGCTGTTGCCCACTGCAGTTGTCATTCTGCTCAAGCTCCAATAAAGATGCCAGGATGCTTATGAAAAGAGTGAAACAGCAGGTGACTGTGTGTCTAACACTCTCTTTTTTGTGTGTCAAAACGCTTTTAGTGGACTGCCTAGATCCAACTTGCTCGGGCCGAGGCGTTTGTGTCCAGGGAGAGTGCCACTGTTTTGTTGGGTGGGGAGGGCCAGGATGTGAAAGCCCTAGGGCCTCCTGCATGGACCAGTGCTCTGGACATGGAGCTTTCCTGGCAGACACAGGAACCTGCAGCTGCGATCCCAACTGGACAGGCCATGACTGCTCCACAGGTAAGTGCTTTCATAATTAGAGAAAATATTGGCTGGATTTTATTTTTAGGAGCCAATTGAGCTCCGACTGCAAGGTAAAAAAAAAAGAAGTGAGAATTAGGCATCATCTTGTTAATATATGACCACAACTTCACAATAATGCAAACAAAATGATTTGTTGTGTTTTGGGAAATAATATGATTTCACCTGTGTCATTTTAGTTTAAACCATATTTGTGTAATAATTTACTTTAGTGGCTCATATTCCTCTTATTTTTGGGTTTCATAATGACTTTAATACCATCCACAACTGCTAGAACAACTGACAATAGCTATCCACCAATGAATAAGTTACATATCAAAAGGGGTTACGTTTCTCTTGGTCATGTGTTATTAGTCAAACAACTGGTGGTCAAATACATAAATATCTGACTATTTTTTTTTTCCCTATCCATTCACTTTATCACAAATATAGGACTCCTATTTGTAGGGTGTATACGCAAATACCAGTACCACGTTCTTTGTTTCACCTTTTTTAATATCCTAAACATCAGAAAAACTTGTGGGAAAATGCTTTGTTTGGCTTTCTTGAAATACACCCTCCAGTTGGATCTATCATGAAACAAATAATGAATATTTGTAAAGGTATCCCTTGCACAGTGTTAATTAGAATAGATGGTCTATGTGCTGTGGGTGTACCTCCTGCAAAGGATATAGGGACCTTATTAGAGTGCATTGCATTACATACCTGGCCATAATAAAATAGATTTTCTCTACAAGGGGTAAGCTAAAGAAAAGGAAACTCAAGAACTCTACAAGTATAGACAGCTTGTGCAAAGATCTCCATTCCGATATGCCCTAAGTTACCTTGGGGGGAAAAAAAGGATTTTGCTAAGTAAATTGCAGAACAAAATATATATAAATATATATTTTAATTAATTATTTTAGGGACCTCTCTAAGTTAGTATTTTATCGACATTGCTGTTAGTTCAGTAAAATACAAGACTTCTTTCCCAAAGTAAACATTTTTTATATTATTTTTCTAGCTTGCATAAATGCTTCAGTGATTCCCATCAATAATCACTTTGAGGTCGACTGTCAGAAATCAAATCTGCTTAGGTTTTTGTGTAATAATTTGTTTTTATTATCCTTTAGTACCCAAAGCTTAAATGCATCACAACTGACATTGAACATCAACAACACATACTGAGATTGACATCTGATTCACTTTCTCTGGGATATCAAATCACACCTCCTTCCAAATATGTTCCAAACCTGTTCAGATCACACTTTTGATAATGGTGAGGCTCATCCCTGATGGTTGGTTAATTTATTTTTCTGTTTTATTGATTGGTTATTTTCTTAATGGGCAATGTGTTGTATAAAGGCATACATTAGCCTCATCAATTTACAGTTGGGGGTATAGGGCAAACAGTCATTTTTTTTGTTGATTTTGTTCTTAATTTACATCTTTTACGGATGGTTTCCTCCTTCAGTTTGTGCATGGTTATGTAGCATCTGTGGATGGAGGAAAATATGCACAGCTACCATCAGCAGAATAATCAGAATTTATATACTGTCTGGAGAGCTTGCTCGTTTCATAACTGTACAATATTCACAGCTAAGATTTTTTTTTTGTTTTTTGTTTTTTTGCTCTGAAGAGCCAAGGTGTCCATTATGACTAAATGTTAGTTTTATATTGATAGTCAAAAAAGGTAAATGTCAAACTTGCAGGCTTGCTCATTTAATAAAGGGAAAAAAATGCTCAACTCAATGATAGATAGAGCTTTTAATAAAGTGTCTAATCTACAGATTTGCACTGAGATTCTGAAGATTTTGGGGGTTTTAAGGTAAACACACCTCTTAATGTCACAGGGGCGAGGTTGCAAATTTTAACAAAGGAAATTAAAAAGTACGTTCCAACTAACAAAACATCGCCCATTTCTGTCTATACCTTTCAGCAGAGCATGAGCAAGGAAAGGAAAGAGGGAATTCAAGGAAAGGAAAGAGGGAATTCAAGCCTTCTCTTCTACTGATAATTATTGCTAATGTGAGATCTTTCAGAAAGAAGCAAGTTGCAAGTTGAATTAATTAAATCCTGACAAAGACCCATACCGTAGAACATTCTTTCTGTTTATAGTCATCAACACCTGCAAGGATTCATTAAATAAACGCTTATAATATGAGTAACAACAACAATGTATTAATAGAGTATACTTGAATTTATATTAATTTAATTGTGGCAGATACAAGACATGCTTGATAACACCATCATCCTGGTGGAATTCCCGATGAGGGTCATGGGAATTTGGTTTCAAGTAATGTTTGATTTCTTTTCTTCAGGACTAGATAAGGCTAAAGTTGTGTCCCCTATGGTATTTTGAGGAGTTTATCAGCCAAAATAAGGAATGAGGCAAAAGTGTGTAATTGCTACCCAGTACTTGTTTATCCAAAGCAAGAGCAGTTTTTGCACTGATAGATACACTTCTTCCTAGCAGACCTTTCATTTGTCACAGGTCCTATTTGTGGTTTTCATGGTAAAATATAAAGGTTTAGTTTCTTAAAAGATGAGATATTGTTTGGATGGCTTGGTTACACCTTTGTAGAACCAGAATTTTGTCATTAAGAACCTTTGATTAAAATGTATACTTTTGCTTGAAGGAGACAAACACTTACATTAACCAGGTTCTTATGATAAAGTTGTAGAGAAAATCGATGTTTATTCAACAGCTGGTATCTAATGAAGAATTTGTAAAGGGATGGTGTGTTTAACCTTATTAGTATATATATTTTTAAACTAATGCTGTATTCAGATAAATTAATTCATTCACTTTCTTTATATTTAACCATAAATAGACTTGGGAAAAGCATAAAGCCTACAGAACCATGTCAATATTCTTGTTCAACATGTGCCAGTCGGGCTATAGGGGAAACGTTCCAAAACTTGTAGTATACATGACCAACTGAAAGAAAACAGAAGACAAGAAAGATACACAAGATGCAAGATTAAATGAGCTCTATCCATAGGGTGAGTAGGGTTGTATGGAGATGAGGATAAAGCTCTTTCATGTTGGGGAGTTAATCTATGTCCAAAGTGTCCACCTCCTTCTGAGGTTCCAGATACATATCCCACTGGGAGAGGATCTCGGGGTGAATCAAAGGGCCCCTTGGATAGACTATAACTGCTTATCACCTATTTTGGATCCTCAAAAGTGAGCTAGTAAATGCTGCTTGGGAGAAGGATGTCTGGATATTGCTGCTAGACTTGTTACATCTATAATAATCTGAGATAAGCAGAACACAGTGAATTGAGAAATAAACACTTGCAATTTTTCACATTGAATCTGTTATTATTGCCATGTAGATTTTCACTTCAGATATGTTCAGTTCAGCAGGTTTCTGATATGTTGATAATCATCTCCAGTCTAACAGCTGCAGTCTTTTTTAAATTTGTATTCACACAATGCATTCTGAAATTAAAGCTTTAGTGCAGCAGCAGCTTCTCTGATCCACGAATCCCTTTTGTATTCCAAGCAGACATGATGACCTATTAGATAATCCTAAGGATTTGGGGGGAAATGGGCAGTTAGTCTGGGTGTGTCTTGCCGAGAAAAGGCTCTGTAAATGATGATGAGTTGGCTTTTTATCATCCTTTATTCTGTTCATTGTAGAGTTTTCCCTGCTCTATTTCAGCATTAAGCTATGCTGTGTGGTTCTAGTGAAAGAAGCATATAACCTTGCACCATGAAGAAAAAAATGGAAGCTTTTACTATACTTGAAATTGATTCATTTCCTTTTGATATATTTCTTTTAAGGGGAAACTGTATCTCCATTGTCTTTTTTTCACTAACTATAGAAACATACCTGGGTTTTTAGTTTAGTTATTTATTTATTTATTTTTAATGCTTGTAAGCCATTTTAACTAGCATTCAGCTCTCATAAAACAACCTTAACATGAACTCAGTTGCTTGTGATGTTCTGCTGTTCTGGCTAAGGACAGTGAGAGTTTATTTGGGATGGTATTTGCATCCCTATTCATTTAAAAGTAAGAGCCATTATTCCTATAAGAATAACAACTGTAATAGTGGTGTCTTCCTAAGATTTCCATACTTCAAGGGGCCAGCATAAGCAAATTACTCCATGAGCTACTCATTCAGGAGAATTTATCTAAAGCACTGCAGACTCCTGACGGAAACAGTAATTCCTACAATCAGTTGATAGAAATCAACAATCAAAGATTCTGAAAAAAAAAAAAAAAAGCAATGAATCATTAGAATTTCGCTTTTTCCTACTTTATATGTAAGAAAGGCAATAAGAATAGTTTTTGGTATGAATGTGCTTTTCATAGAACTTTTAACTGTGTCAGACTCATTTTTGTGTTGGGTCACTTTTTATGTCTTTAAAAATACTTTTTTATTTAATGATTTTCTTACAAAGGGCACACTGCTCGGATAGTATAACGTCACTACCATTTTCTCCCAGTTGTAACCATTTTAGAAGAACATATGACTCTATTTTATGACATTATATCCTTGTTTTGGCTCTTGAGGGCTGGGCAAATTGTGGCGTTGGGTCGAATTCGGCCCTGCGGGCATTGACCTACTTGACATTCGCCATAAGCTTGTAATAGCTATTAGTCTGAAAAGGAGCAGGTAGAGCCCAATTTCAAAGGCCGGACCAGAGCTGGACTAAAAGAATCAGGTCAGAAACAGGTTTGAGCCAAATAGAAAACTACAAATTGATGCAAAAACATCTTTAAAAAAAAAATAAAGCTTTTAGAGCAGCCAGTTACTGAACTTTTTAACCATATCCAGCTTATTTGGGGAAAAAACAAGGGCATCGTTAAAACAACTACGTCATTCTGACTGCTCCGGCTAATCAAACTCAGAGGTTCCATATCAGTGGTCACCATAAGACCAGCATGCTTATTGAATGCAGGTGAACTAAAAAGGATCAGTCGATTAAGCGATTTGAATGAGTTTGTTCATAAAAATGACTTAAAGGACAGCACAACATGACAGGATTTACTTTAGTTGAGTTCTGTAAAAACAACAAAAAAAGAGTAGATTGCATTCATAGAAGAGTTCCTGGGTGACCAAATGATGAGTGGATGTTCTAGTGATGACTAGGAAAAGCAAGAAAAAAAAAAAAAACAGTCAGTTTCACTTTTTCCAAAAACCTCTTTATCGTCCTTTGGAAAAAATAATGCATGAAATGACGATGCAGTTAGTAAAAATCCACAGGAAAATCACACCATTGTATAAGCTGCACGGTTCAAAGTATGGAGAAAAAAAAAGTAGTAGCTTATAGTCTGGAAAATATGGTATATTTTAAATTTCACTCATCTTTCTATACTGCTTAATGCTGATAAATCATCTGAAATGACAGCATAAAACATGGTGCATCTCATATTTAAGTTGAGAAAAAAATTGAAAAGTCCAGGGGGGTTTGAAAATATTTTCAAATTACTATAAATGTTATAAGTGAATCATTCCCACAAGCTCCGCTGACTCATGCAGTAATGATAGCTGTACTTAAACCTCTTTGGAGGCAGGTATTCAGACATTATGGATAGAAGTCAGATTTAAAATAAGGATTTGTTGTGTTTTTAGGTGCTAGTCCATAATTAGCAGAGTAGAGTGAGATTTTTCTTTTTTTTAAACCCTTTTAATGCTGTTATGCCTTTTTTTTATTGTTTTAGGCTGAAAACACCACTCAGTTTCAATGTGTAACAATGGCAAAATAGACACTGCAAAAGCTATAATTGACTTATTAAAAGATTTTACCCCCAGTTTGGTCCCCTGTGGTCATACATGAATTGGTTTGGCTAATAAGCCTGTAGTAATATTGTTCATTGTTGCCCATACTACTAAGCCCTTTTCATTTTTTTTTTCACCACAGGATAGTTAATAAAGCGGTTAACATTTCAATGAGATTCAAAAGTAATCTGTCAGTGTTTAATTTCGTTGTGTTTTATGCTTGTCATGCTCTCCTGTGAGTTCATGAGATGAGGTTTAATGTCCCAGGCTCTATCACACCCTGTCAGGGAGGTCTTTCAGCTGCCACACAATAGTGAGACCAGGCTTGACTGTGGCTCTCTGTCTCTTTTTTCTTCATTGCGTAAATGTACTTCCTCCTCTGCTGAAAAAGCACTTTAAAAGAATTAAAAAAGCATTTTTTTAAAATCATACATCAAAAGGCACAATCTTTTGGTGTATTTTGCTTTTATTTAACTCACAGTTGTAAAGTGACAATAAAAACACAGCAGGGTAAGGTAATCTCAAACAAGAATTTAAGAAAATGAATGTTTTTTTTTTTTTAAGTGGTATACTAAAAGGTATTTAGATCGAGGACATAACAAGATCAATTAAACTCATCCACATCAGCTGGACATTCTTAAATATAGTGTATGTATTGAGGGCGGTGGGCTGAATCTGGTGACAAAAGGTATTGATTTTTGAGGTTCATATTTGTCATGGTTTTTAACTTGAAAAGATTGATTTTTGATTAAGTAGTTCATCTTTGGTTTCTGACCTGGAATAGATCAGATAATCTTATAACAGAACACTGTGCTCCATGCACCTGAAAAATCATGAAATTATATATTTTATTCATACAGCTGCTAAAAGCCATTTTAAAGATCTAATAATGGAGAAGTAAGTTGATATAAAAATGACTTTGCCGCCCTTGTTAATGTGCAAAACTGAAGTTTGATAGATTTGGTTGCATTTGCTCTGCAATAGGTCCACTGTTGTGTTTGTGCCACACCTTAAATCTAATGATGGATACAGCTGTGGAGGGCAAAGCTAATGCAAGCTATGCATTTTTTTTCTTGGTAAAGCGGTTATTTATCCAAGCTCTGAAGTTTCAGAAGATAGCAACTAAATTAAATACGAGTTACAGATTTACTATAAAAGAGAAGAAGGTTATCACCCAATCCAAAGCAGAAAAAATAAAGTTTAACACCAACAATCAATGAAACACAACAGATATTAAATAGTAAATTACTGATTCAATTTTATTCAGTTTATTTTTATATCGCCAATTCACATCTCATCTTAAGGCACATTACAGAGACAGTTCCAGCAGATCATACAGTCAAAGTGACTTAAAATTTTCTATCTAAGGACACCAGTTGATTGCATCGACTCATTGACTCGAAGGCAATCCCTCACAATATATAATGTGAATTAATATCATTTACATTACAGAAATAACTATTTTTGATTTAAAAGGCACAAATTAATGCCAGAATAAATAAGAAAAAAAAAAAATTTATAAAAGGTTTAGGGACTCAGGATTTTATTCTCCCACAGTTTTTTTTTTTTTACCTCCTATCTCGGAACCATAACCTGCATGTGGCAATGCCTTTGCCTCTGCACGTATTACAGAGTGAATAATGTTTGGAGTTTAATCCGACTGGTGCTGGTAATGGAGTCCTAAATTTGAAACAGTTTTTCAAAATTCCATCTGTGTAATTTTTCGTCTTTATCCCTTTTGTGCTACAAAAAAAGGAGAATCTGTAAAGAATAGAAGGGGTGAGGGAGAATAAGTCTACTAAGGCCACACAAATCTCGTCTCCTCTTGGTAATGGACTTATTAGATTTGTATTGTCAAAAAAGGATTGTCCCTATGAGGTGCAGGAATTTCTTTTCAGCTGCCATCAGACAAGGTAGTGGAGCGTAGCCGCCTTTCTCTCACAATAACTTCTGGATTTGTCTTTTTTTTCCACCCCTGCCTTGTCCTATCACCACCCTGTCTTCTTCCCATTTCCTACCCCCTTCCTCCTTTCTCTCTGTCGGTCTTTTTGTCTTCTTCTATGTCCCTGTCTCCCACAGAGATTTGTGCAGCCGACTGTGGAGGCCACGGCGTTTGTGTTTCAGGCACCTGTCGCTGTGACGACGGCTGGATGGGCGCCGGGTGTGACCAGAGGGCGTGTCACCCTCGCTGCAACGAGCATGGCACATGCAAGGATGGCAAATGCGAATGCAGCCCTGGTTGGAATGGAGAACACTGCACCATTGGTAGGAAGAGAGTTACCTCTGGTTTGGGTGGGGGGACTGTCTCTATGTATACGTCCGTATTTGGTCAGGATCCATTTAAGATTGGGGGGTGGTCAACAAAGGCGTGCAGGCTATCACTGCCTGTGTGTGTAAGCGCTGGGTCTGAGAGGAAGCATCCAGTTGGGAGAAAGAGGAGGAAAGCATGCTTAATTGAATTTGTGCAACTCAGTAAAGCATGAACAGGTTTACTCAAGGATCTGAGTCTTGCCTTCATGCATTTTAATGTGGGAATGTGCTAAGGTGTCTTTTCATTTTACTCATCCTTATCCTCATCTCTTTCTTTGCCCCCTTTCCGTTTACAATTATTTTCAAACGCTGCCGTGTGAGTCATTGTGAGCAGGTCAACCACCACCTTTAGCTTTGTGCTAATACTAACACAAATGCCCTCTGTCACAAAAAAACGGCAAAAGCTTTTTAGATATCGACCGGAAGTCAAAAGATGTTTAAAAAAAAAAAACGCCTTAGTGCCTTAATTTTCATAGGACAACAGATTGGTTATATATTTTAGACTTTAGGTAAATTAGTAGTAATAAAAAACCCAGCTATTCTAATTTGGTAATATTGTTTCTAAGGATATTAGGAGTTTAACAATACATCCAGCTTAGGGTATGAGACAATACCATTATATACTACTATATATTTTAGCATTCCTTTGGGGGAAACAGAATATTGACATTATATTGTTTTTAAATCAGAACCCTTATTAGTAATCTGCAGCTGAGCTGAAGGCTTTTATATCAGTTATATATTTTATGTGTCACCACATCCTTGAAGGATACTATGTATTTGTAAGTTACCAGTTGGTATTTGTATATTAAAAATATTTTTTAAGTCTGTTAAGGGTGATTAGGTAAAAAAAAAAAAAAAAAAATTGGCTTTAAGATAATGTGTCATAAACACCTTTTTGGTATTGCTGGTAAAAATTTATAAAATACTATCAAACATGTCACATGATCTTGTTGGATTTTTGCAACAACAAAGTAATTAATAGTAAGATTGATCAATTTAAATAAAAAGGAGAGAGGCATCTAAAAATATTCTTTTTAAACTTTTAAAATAGTAGAAGACATTTTATTAGCAGTCCTATGATTAGGATTAAATATTTATATTAAAAGCATATGTAAACATTGCTTTATTATTTTGAAACAACTTTATAAAGGTTATTAGAGTCCTGTTCAAAACTGTAGCATTTTATTTTAGCAATTATTGCTGTTATAACCTTTAGCACGTAACAGCAGACTTCATTTGCTTTTACAGAGAATGCAGATCAGTACCCGAGCTTTAAGACTACTTAAAGGTCCCCAACATTTCTTTATACAGTGCAGCCCGTAACAGGCTGGAGTTCAGAAAGATAAATCAGTGAAACTTTGCTATACTTAGTGCAGCCTTCTTGTTAGCTGATAAAATTCTTGCTTTATTCCCAGCCTGAATAAAAAGTAGACAGATTTCAAGATAAAGTAAAAAACAGCCCCATTTTAAACACCTTAGTTCTTACATGTCTGTGCTTCCTCTGACTTAGTTTTAGAATACTTACTCTGCAACAAAAAAAGATGGGACTCCAAATGAAAATAAGCCTTAACAGCTAAATGTGGCATATTTGCATTCAGGTTTATTTTCACACTAATTATTATGCATTGTCCCATTTTGAATAAACAGCATCCACATCAAAAAGTTATTTTTTGTCACTGTGACACATTGTTGTCTAGGTGCCATTCATTAACTAATTTGAAAAAAAGATTCTGTGTTTGACTGTGAGATGCTCAGAGATTTCTTCGTCTGTTTATATTTTTTACTCATCTATTTCAGAAGTGTCAGAAATTGTGGTTCACACTCTATTTCATATGATTGCTAATCTAGTGTTTAACAGTTTCTTTTTTTTTAGTTCAGTATAATGATATATTCTAACTTCAGTTCTGTCAAACCTCATCAATACATCAGAAGTAATCGATAGGATGTGTTGCTTGATGCCTGCTGGTGTTCTGTGCTATTATATGCAAATCCAGTCACCTCTTGCTCCTGTTTCCTGTATTTGAGTATATAGCATATAGAAAAGTAATACATGTAGGATCAAAGAAATATATATACTAATGCACGGTGGAATAAAATACACAACAATTTATGGATCATGATAAAATAAAGGCACAAGACATTTCCTTCTGGACATCCTGGTTGCACTCTTTACACATATATGATACAAAAACCTTAATAAACAGCAGTGATCCATTTTCTAGCCCTTTTAATAACTCCCTAGTTGTTTGAGTCAAAAAGAAACCAGAAATAAACCTTTATAACAGACAAAGCTGATTTTTCTTACAGTATTCTCATTGGTCTTGAGGCATTGCTGCCTGAGAAAAGAGCCTCCACTCAGTTTGTAAATGTTTTATATGCTGGCCTTACATTATTGATGGCTCTTTTATAAAGGCCATATTGAGATCCAGATTCAACAAGAATATTCCTCTGTGTCGTACATTAGGATGCCAAAGATCTTAATTTAAATCTATTTTCACCATAGAGGCCCCTGTGTGTTGGCCCCAGGCCCCCTACAGGTCTGATCTGGACTCATTCCTGTTAAGAGAGAGACTGCAATTTTTTATTTTATTTTTTTTTTTTTTAGAAATGATGAGTAAAGCAGCTTTTCTTTCCCTCAATGTTAGTGCCAAAGAGATTTAAAAACTTCAATTTGCACATAAGTGCCTGAGCTTCTGAAATGCAGCCCTGAGTCATTGAAATGTTTCCTCTATTTAACACAAGAAAATTCAAAATATTCCTTTTTGAGACTGCTTGCTTGCTCTTCCTATGCGTCCCCTCGTCTTCCCTCTGTGTCCATCTCTCTTCTGTGCAGGACGGTGCCTGATGTGTTGCTTGTAATGCATGCTTTAAATCCTTTGTGGCTGTGTTTTATTTAATTTAAATTCTTTTTATCGTTTATTGTAAAGTAAACTAACACAGTGCCCTGCTGTCTTGTCGTGGAAGTGCCACTGTTCCAACCCTCCTTATATGTCCTGTCTTTTATCTCTCAAGCTCACTATCTGGATAAGGTAGTGAAAGGTATGGCATTCTTCCTTCAATCTATTCTGCCCTCCACTCATCCTCTGGTCAGCATTAACAAGCTATGCACACAAACACACACACACACATCTTAAACACTTTCCATCTAAAACACTATGCTCCTCATTCAACAGATGCATTTCAATAAATCAGAATATTATTATTATTTCAGTAATTTATTTGAAAATGTGGAATTTAAATGGATTCATTGCACAGAGTCAAATATTTTCAGTGTTTCATTCTAGTGTGATGATAATGGCTTATTAGTAATTAAAATCATGTTAATTAAAAGATTAGGATATTACATGAGATGAATAAAGAAAATTATTCTGATATAGGATATTTTGTTGTTATTGGTTATATTAAAGCCTAAACATGGAGAAAACTGCTGACTTTCCTGTTTTTCTGCAGTTAGTCACTGACATCCTCAAGATGCTACAAAAGGTTATTGTTAACATATACAATGTTAAATATAGATAAATGTCTTTAGACTGTTAATTTCCAATTATTAATGTTAATATGAAGTTAAGTTAAGCTGGAAATTGACAATACCTCAATTGGAATTGGATTTTATTCCTCGTGTTAAGAAGTTGACCAGGAGGGAAGCCCAAACTTCCCCCTCCCAGCTACACTCCTCAGCTCTTTCCTGGAGAAGGTGTGAAGGAGCAGCAGCTCTGCTTCAAGCTCCTACGGATTTGGAATCTACTCCCCCTGTCTTAAAGGCTAAGACCAGCCAATCTATAGATGAAGCTTATCTAAGCTGCTTATGTCTGCTGCTTGTTCTTTTGGTCAAGATTCAGGTCTCACAACCAGAGATGTAGGTGGGAAATGTAAATGGTCCAATATATTAAGAGTGCCGCTGAGAATTAGCAAAGACAACACCCTAATCTGTTTATCTACCTTCCACTCCATTTATCAGTAGTGAACAAGCGTTAGGAATCCTCCACTTGAGGTAGAGACTGAACTCAGACCAGACATGAGAAATCAAGGAAAAAGTGTGGTGGAAAAATCTGCATAAGCAACATGGTTAAGAGTTTGGGAAAGATTTACAAACTTCATTCTATTTTTTATAGTGCCAGCAGGATCTTTGTGCATGTTGTTTTTTTAAAGTCGGTGGTTCTTTTCAAAAATCCGCAAAGATCCTCCACTATACCTTTAAATTTAAAAACCAAGCTCCAAGGGATTATAGCAAGAGTGCAGGGACAAATAGTCATAGTTGCTTGAATAGACTGTAAGGGATTTAGATAGTCATGTCATCTGTTGATGTTGGTTCACTCTATTTATCGAGTCGCTGCCCATCGCAAAGCCTGTCAGCAGAGCCACATTCTGACCGATTTAAGCCACTATCATCAACACTTACAGAAAAATACACTTTAAGTATATCACTTTGTATGTAATGAAATTAACTTAACACTTTAATTTTTATAGCTCCTGATAATATTTTACCTTATTGAGATGCACCTGTGCCAATCTTCTCATCGTATTTTCAACATAGTGTTCCATAGAAATCTCCTCTTAGCACCTTCACACCCAACTTAAGCTGAGCTGCTTTCTTTACATCTGATATTTGGTTTGTGAATTTTGCCTTCTCACTTGGGGGATGTTGGGAAAGGGGATTCATAACTTGTGCCTTGCATTATAGATGAGTCTACAGCTCTGTGAAGAGCCTGATAGGTGCTGAGGCTGCATCCTCCTTAATTAAAAGAGTTTATGGTTCTGGGCTAAAAAAGGAGAGAAGCTTTGCTTCACCCCTTACTGTGTTCCACCAGCACCCCTCTCTTAGCCTCCCTGCGTCCTTGGTTATAGACCACCTGGCATAAGAGCGGCTGCCAGAGGGGCTCTTCGAACGTTTGCATCCTCATGTCTGGAGCTGTTTCAGACAGGCTCAGGCAGGGCTCTGCAGGGGCTTTGCTCTGAAATATTCTGCCAGTTAAGTTGAAACCAAGCCAAAAGAGAGTGGAGCTTTATTTATCCTTATAACAAACATTGTGAGCTTCTTAATCGTCCAGCTTCACTGGCTTAACCAGAGTCATTTTTGTCCATTTGCTCAATACAAGGACAACCAATGCCAAAAGTGTAGAAGAGGCAAGCCATTTTGAAGAGATTATTTATAGTTGTTTTTTATTTTACTAATATCTAGCTAAATTCACTATAGAACCTAACTTTGCTTATAACATTAATGAGTAATTTAGATTGTATTCTCTAAAGAAATAAACAGAATAGCAATGTTTAAAACCACACTTCACTCCTGGTGAAAATGTGTTAAATCTATTATATTTTTCTATTATGAGGCTTTCATTGCAGGAGCAGAATATTACACTGCATAAATGACAACAGTTCCCAACCCTGCCTGTAAGCTGAATTCCTGCTGTATTTGTGAGTTCACAAACACACGGGAATCTATCTTGTACTTCTCCTGTTAAAAATCATTTGAGTTCAACTCAAAACAGGTAGGCCAGACACATAGTATTAAGGTTTAAGGCAGGACATCTAGCTGTGAAAAAAGCTACAGCTGCCACGCTCACAGCTGTACCAAAATAAACATGGCAGTGCAGGGGGACGTAGCTGCTCCTATCACCTCCATTTGGTCGGAGTTCACAGTTTCATCTTTGAAAGAGCAACGGAGAGAGTTCAAAAGCGCAAGTTGTTGTGGTTTTTTTTGTGGCATCTGTATTTATTTTGTTTGTTACTGTGACCAAAACAGAACTTTGGTAGCTGGGCACTAGTAGTCACATCCCCTAATCAGCTTAAAAGTTTCTCCTGATTTTCACTTATTTCCCCGACCTGACTCGACGGGAAAAGACATAGATTAATAATTCATAGAATTAACCCTAAATGAAACAACAATTATATATAATAGTGTAGAATTTCATAAATGTTGCTTTGAGGTCTGGCCATACCTACCATACAGCTAAACATAACTGCTCTACTTGAATTGCACATTTTGTTTTTTTTTATAAAAATGTGTTAACTGATGTCTATACCAACCTGTCATGCCTGTGTCCTTCTGATTTTAGCAAGTTTTGTGATATCAGCTCTACAGGATATCACTGACCCAAAAAAAAAGTGATTTCACTTTAAGAAAAGAGGATAGAAAAGGTTAAAGAATATTTTGCCTTCCAGGCCTTCATCCTGGAAGTGGCCATTAATTATCTTTGTTAGTATCAGAAGTGATGTTTCAGCATTTAGTAGAGTGGTTTCTGTAAAACAGCATTTTATTATAAAATAATTACAAGGTTTATTATCAAAAATTTCATTGGCACCTTATACTGGCATTTCTTCAGTCTATTTAGCCTTACATCTATATCTCCTAAATGTGTGGGTGTCTCTTGCTCCAATGCAGAGCCTTAATTTACCAACATATGGTGGAAAAAAATATTACTTTTTTATTTCTTTCTGATTCAGTTGACTTAAATTTAAAAACTAAGGTGAATTTAAAAATATCTATCTAATAGTCATACTCACAACATCCAGACCCAGCTGTTTCATTATCAGCCAAACAAAATAGTTAACTTCTCTGGGATTTTTTTTTTTATGCAACTCTTTAAATTGCAAAGTATATATTTAGTAATGTGTAAATTAATATTTTGATGTAGAAATTGCTATAAAGGCAATTTATTTTTGGCCCTGAAAACAAGTATTTTAACCGTGAGACTCCCTGAGGATGTCAATTGAAAGTACAAAAAAGCTTTTTTTTTTTAAAAATGTTTCATATTACAATTGTGTTACTGCTATTAAAGTCACATATAATATAGGGCTACCATTCAAGGTTAAAGGCTCCTATACAAATTTCAACATAAAAAGCAATACAATGTCAATAATTGTCGTAGACTTGGGACAAACTATTATCAAAGCATTGTTTTGGATATTTTAAGAGCTCTGCTGACCCATTCTGTAAATCTGGTATTGGTTTCTGTTTGGTTGGTATATTGATTTCATTTATAAGGAATATATGTGCTAAATAATAACTTCTATTACTTGGACTGCAGTGGCATTGCATATTATAATATAATTGCAATCCTGATTCATCCATCAATCAGACTTTTCTCCCTTGCAAATGTCACCTTTTAAATACACTTGCCTCACCTGTTTTCTTCCTTTTTCATTCCCCTGTCTGGTTTCTTTTATATATGATGAAAGAGCAACCAGCACAGCAGAGACAGATGAACCAGTCTCCTTTAGTTGATAAAATGGGTCAGCTTAGCATTCTCTCTATCAAGGCACCCCTCTAACGCAGCAATCTATGACAGACCTGTGCATTTGATATCTTTAGATTTTACCCTTTGCCTTAGCGAGGGGTAAATATCATAATATGTATCAGATAAATGTCAAACAGGGCAGAAGAAATTGGCATCATAATCTTCTGATCTGTGCCCTTGTGAAGACCTATCCAGAAGGAAACAATGAAATCTTTCACCTGTCTCTCAGCTCCAGCCTGCCTCGGATCCCCTGGGGCTGAGCTCCCAGAAATACAGCTAAGCAACCTCTGTTCAAAGCAACCGAACACAACCTTTTCCAGTTTATACAAAATCCATTTTATTTAGCTTTGAACTTCTCATAAAATGACACAAATTGCTCTTACTTTTAGGGGCAATTTAATGTTTATACATTAAATACCATTTTAAAGAAATACATTGTTTTTTTTTAAACATATTCCTAGAATTATTACAGTTTTACTAGGTAGACCAGCACAAAGTAACAAATATTGTGAAGAGGAGACTAAGCAATAGATGAAACTTAATACAGGATTATCTGGAATTAAACCCTTTGAAAGGCAGCAAAATACTTTCAGATTGGGTCAGAGGTCACCTTCCAGACAGAAGTCTCTAACCACAACCAGACCTATGTATAAAAAGCTTAGAGCAAACCACATTTACTGTATGCATTAAAATGACCAAGCTGCAACCCTCATAGAAATCCAATTGAAAATCAACTAATCTGATTTAGATTCAGCTATTTTGCAAAGAAGACTGGACAAGGGTTTCAGCCAGCAGATGTCCAATTCTTGTGGAGTTTTACTCTTCGGAAGTTGTACCTTTAGAGTTGTCCTGCACGTTTTAAGACGTGCTTCCGTCAACCTTTTTTTCACATTTTGCAGTATCGTATTAGAAGAGCTTGATGGAAACAGCAAAGCATACAAAATTTAGCAAAACAACTTTTTTACACACTGGTTTTTGACTGTTTTGTAAACGCTTTAAATGTGCTAAAGATGGAGATGGAAACACATTTGTCAAATAAGTTCTGACAGCAAATATTTACCTTTCCACTGATCAGCTGTTTCCACTGTCACTGTTGTCTTGAATGCAACATTAGAATCAAACCTGTTTGTCGTACTTCCTGAAGTTTTATAATAAGTACATCAGATTACAACTCAACCCTTAAAATCTCAGCTCATTGCCGATCTGTGGTCCACACTAGCTTGCTAACTCTACTTCCTGTTTACTACAGCCAAGCGTTACACAACAACATTATGCTTTGCAGTGATTTGTCAATCTGCTCCAATGGATTGAAACATGTCTAATTCGTATTTCCTTATAAAGACTTTTTAGTCTCAAAATTTGCATCACATTTGGATGGAAACATGGCCGTAGATGTGTCGTTTTTCTGGCACATCCAATATATCTGGTTGCGGACCTCATCATTATGATGCCATTAAGATCTACAGAAACCTATTAAGCACTTATTCATACAAGTCAGATGCGTTGCTTCAAAGAGACACCTAAAACATACAGAAGAAGGGTGCTTGAGCATATAGGGTTGGGAAAATGCTCTCAATGCCTTTAATCTTCAACTGGAGCAAAAAGTAGGCATACAAAGTAAAAAATTAACTACAATCAAAATTTTCTTCAACTGCACAATTAATCAGTATGTTTCATTGGTCAGTCACATAAAGGTCCTAAAACAAAACATTGTCCTTTGTGACAGGAATGTGAAAAGAATGAACAAGTTGCAGCGATGGAAATCCCTCTACAAAACGCAGCCGAAAAAATCTTCACATCCAAATTCACCACAATAGTAGTCGTTCAAATTGAGCTCTGAAATACCAGTAGTAAATCCACTGCTCCCAATACACAGCTAAAATACCATCAATTCCGGCTAATCTAGCTGCAGTAATGAGTGAATATTGATTTAGAAGATCCCTATTATCTGACTAACTGTAAAGGGATATTAGAAAGCTTTACTAAAGGTGTATCAAATTAATCAGGTTTCGCTGAGGGTCATTAGAGCTGCTCTCATCCATTTAAAATCTTTACATAACATTATGTCTGTTGCCACTTAAAGTAGGAGCAACAAATCATCTGTTAAAGTTTTTTCTATTATACGTTATTTAATATTTTTCCTTTGTATGAGACTCAGTTGTGACCCCTCATCTTTGTCTTCATCTATTTTTCACAGAGGGTTGTCCGGGTTTGTGCAACGGAAATGGCAGGTGCACTCTGGGTAACAACGGCTGGTACTGTGTGTGCCAGCTGGGCTGGAGGGGCACGGGCTGTGACACCTCTATGGAAACCGCCTGCAGTGATGTCAAGGACAACGATGGAGGTAAAAATCACAAATACCTTTTGACACTGACCAGACACCAACAAGGACTTTGAACCAGACAGGATTAGACAATAAAAATGGGCCCCCTTTGGGTTTTTGAAATGTGCAGTAGCTGCTTTCAGCTTTTCAGGCATTTCTGTAGCTTTATGTAGGCCATTCTAATTTTATTTCTATTGAACCAAAAGCAGGTGAAAATGTCTCGAGATGCTGTGCAGATTTTACAGCCTTGAATCCCAAGGGTGAGATCATTTTTCACTGGAAGAAAAGAAGCAAAACACAATAGCAAACATGAATATTGCACACAGATGATAAAAAAAATACAAAAGAGTTGGAATGCAACGAATACATATTAAAACGGCAAACCTGCAGAGCTAAAAAAAAAACGATGCATTATCTAGAAATCAGAGCTGTCGTTCTGACTTATAAAGACAATTAATTGCTTTGTTCAAGTTGAATCAATGCTTATAAGCTGAGAAGAAAAAAAATCTTCTTTCTGAAGCTAAATATCGATTCAGAACCATTTCTGTTGAATATATATCAAAGCTACTGTATTTGAGATTTAATAGTGTGGTCTGGCTCCAGGTAAAATCTTTTAAATATCTTTTCCAGCATAAAAAGATAAAATGGGCATAAATTATTAATAAAACAGTTAGGGGGGTTGTCATTTTCTTTATTTATCATACGTATCTGTGCAGAGTGAGCCTGCATATGCAAGCCACATGCACTACATGCACATAGTGTAGGGTAGACATGATTGGATTTATTAATAGGGTATGTCACCTGGATGTTTCTCCACCCTGAAGCCTTGAGCTTTTACTGTCCTCTTGGGACGTCCCTCTAAATAACCCTGAGCAGAGGCAGAATCACTCTCATACATACGAACAGCCAAGGATGTGGCACCAGAATCCACTCCAAGTGGGAGCTGTGAGTTTCTTTATTCCAGACCCGATTCTTCAACCTGAGCTATGCACTAACCTCTCTTATTTATACAGGGGGATGTTTGTCTTCCCATCACTTAGCAGGGACCACACAGCCCTCAACAGCAAAAGCAGGGTGCTGTGCTGCCTGGGATTTGACTGAATCCTGACAGGACAAGTTATTTTTATCACCCCATCTGTCCAGATATGCCCCTGAAAGCAACGGTTAGAGGAAACCAATGACCCACTTCAGGGAAATACAGAGCATTACATGATTTTTTTTTTTCTAGTAATGACATCTGATGCGCTTAGAGAGAAATGCATCTTATAAATATAACGGTCATGCAGTTTGCAAAAATTTGTATTTTACTCTCTACACACTTTTTTGATTAAGTTTATATTTAGAAATGAAATACTTGTCTTCAGCATCTTACTTCTTTTAGCGTAGCTTTCATTACTAGAACAGCGGCCTTTGTGTGAAGAGAAATCCTAACTTTGACTGATGTATTCACATAAGGCTCTAGACATTTCCAAATCCTGCATATTCAACGAAGGAGGATGAAAGATCAAAATAGAAATGACAAAGCTACTTTTCTCCACTGACTTTAGCCTTCCTGTTCTCTTCTGCTGGTCTTACTCACTTATTCAGCGTGAAGTAACCACAGGACAGTTTTGACATGTCATGGAAATTCTCTTACTTTTTAAATCAGTTCCCTAATGTCCATGCAGCCTCAGGATTATTTAAAATTCTATACTGACAACAACAATGACTTGAGCATGGTGAAACCTTTAAACCATAAGATGTTGTCAGCTTGTGTTGTTTATATATTTTGTCTTCCCTGATAAGAAACAGTATATTTTTAATAAAAAAGGGAGTTTTTAATAAGAAGAGAAAAACACAAAATATTAGAAAGAAGTACTCAACACCCATAAAATTATCTGACATTGCTGCAAAAATGTCTCCTCTTGACAAGATTTCAGGAACTTAGATTATAGCGTAAAATTGGATTTTTAAAATAAGATTTGAACCCTTAAAACAAGACAAATTATCTAATACTTTTATGTCTAAGGCTGTTTGTTTTATCAAATCATGCACAGCTGTTAATTACTAATATTTTTCCAACTGTGGTGAGCAGCTCTTTGAGCTGATAAATATGATAAAACTTGAATAATAGCATATAGATTTATCTTTGTACGTAACAATTCTGTAGCACAATTTGTGTGAGCACTGAAGGATTTGCCAGGTGATACTTTCTTTTTTGTAAAGATGTGAGCTGTTTAACCTTCTCAGATGGCCTGGTGGACTGCATGGATCCAGACTGCTGTCTTCAGGCTACCTGTCACACCACCTCTTTATGCGTGGGCTCCCCCGACCCCCTGGACATCATCCAGGAGACGCAGATGTCCTCTGCGCAGAGCAACCTGCAGACGTTCTACGACCGAGTGCGCTTTCTGGTGGGCAGGGACAGCACACACACCATCCCTGGAGCTAACCCCTTCGACGGCAAGTGAGTGACAAGGTTCTTTTAATGAATTCACAGGTTTTTGTCTTTTATACTTTTTTACATTTCTATCAAATCAGTAAAGGTCTGTTTGATCCACTTACCACACAAGAATATGTTTATATGGTGCCTTGCAAAGAAGTTGCTATAGTTATCCTTGAACCTAGTGCATGATAATTGAAGCTTTCCAGCTTAAATTTAAAATGGACAAAAATGTTGGAATTTATATTTTTCTCCCCTTTTGACTGAATTATTGTTAAAACTTAATACAAATAAGAACAGATTTGCATGTTTGCGATGATATGACCCAGATAAACTCTTACCTAGCGTCACATTTTGGTGCAATGAGATATACGTTTGCACATATAGCAGATTTTAATAACAATACTTGCATTTTTTTGAAAGCTATCAAGGTGCTTTTTAAATACATTTAGATTATGGTTTGAAGCTAAGGGGATGCAGCTGGATTCACTTGGGTCTAAAATTGGCGGTTCTTGGCATGCATCTCTGCAAGGATGATGGACAAATGATGATGGACAAACATGGAATGTGGCAAAAAGGATCCAGCATTCCTTCAACAAGAATGGCATCTCATATTCATGTATTTTGATTACTTCTACTGTAATCCATCTGAGGCTCCACTCCCACAGGCAGAGCTTGTGACACCCCAGCCGTGGAATTTGAGAACCTTTTATATCAAGCATTATGGCAGTCAGAATCCCATAAGATTGCTCCGATGTTTTCCATTGTCTCTTTTTCTTTTCATCTTTTTATCGGATGCATGACAGGGTTGCTCATTTGCATACTACTTTGTTATGTATCACTCTCATCTTTGTATATCAAACTAATCCAGCATAAAAAGACAAAGTTAATATGCACTCAGAAAAGAATGAGAAGACTGTAAACACTTCGTTTTTGTTATTGATATTATTTCTCCTTTTTAATAGTTGGCACCCCCATGGGTTTTCAAACTATATCTTTGTAATTAAACAAAGTCACTTTAAAGTATCAATGATCAAGCTGACTCAACTGGTCAGTAGAAAGAAATGCATTGTATTGATGTCACAATAGAACTGCAAACTTACATGAAGATAGATTTTATGTAAACGATCAACACTAAGTAGTAAATAACTGAAGAGGAGAGAACATGAAACATGGCAGGTATTTAAAAATGATCTAAAGTTTGTATGTGTCCACCATCTATGACTTCCTGCCATTTATTAATAAACATGTCAGTTAGGTTAACTGGTCCCTTAGATATGAGTTTGTGTTTATTTATCCTGTTTATCTTTGAGGTGCCCAAAAAACATTATGATGGGTAATGTTGTGCCCGTTTGTAACTAAATAGAACAAGCTCAAAGTTCAGTTCACACAGATAAACATGAACTAGCTCACATTCAGAGTTGAATTTTTCAAAAATTGAACTAAGTTCACAAACCTATAAATGAACTAGTTCAAGTTCGTGTGGTAAATTAGGCCACAATCCTACACAATAGAACCTCATATTTCACTCTTTAAATGCGTGATCATAATATACAAATAGAAATGGAAAATGGAGTCAAGGTATAGTGTATGTGCAGTGAAGCCTTTATTTAGCCAAATTACATAGGACTTCAGAAACATACTGGTGGAAACATCTGCTGAAAGGATCTGGATCAAAAATGATGTCATATGTTCCTCATTCAGTAGCAAATATTTCCAAAGATAGCTCGGATGCTTAAACTCGATGTGTCACTTTAAATTTGAAGTGGACATGGCTGACATATGGACTTTTTAAGTCCTGGTGGCCACAGCTTGCACAAAACCTTTAGGTTTTTTTCTGTCCGAGTCTCCCTTTGTTCATAAAACTCTGCCAAGCATCTGCAAAACTGGCATCAGTAATACCAGAAGATGAGTCTGATTTGCGCAGACTAGTACTAGCAGTAAACATGCTGGTCTGTCATTCTATTTGCTGTAATAAGTGACGTAAAACCTGACGTTATCCAAATAAAATTGTCGTTATCAATTGAAGGCATGCATGAGCTGTGTGAGTCGCTAGTTATTCTCAGAGTGAACGTCGCTTTCGTTCCCCTTCATTAATTCAAAACTGTTTCTTTTAGTTCGTTAATAATATAACGTTCTTGCATAACACTGGTGATAGGCACCAACCCCCTGGCAAACATCATGTCTCTCATATTAGGCAGACGGCTATGTGTTTGTTGGTCAGCAATGTATTGTGTGTTTAGATGACGGAAGTAAAAGGGATGTAAGATGTTTAAAGCTTGGGATACTTTTTTGTATTAACTAAATTACTGGGAAATGGACGCTGAAGCTGCATGAGACTTTGTTCAAGAATATATACATGTATGCGAAATAGCGAAACCTGTAGGTTCTCTTTCCCGTGACAAATGTGTGGTTATACTGCAGCTGTAACCTGACAAAATGTGAAAAAGTGAAAGATACAAAACTTTAGCAAGCCAATGTATATTATTTTAAAAACATTATTAAACAATTTTATGCTATGCAACAATGTCAGCGGATACTTAAGTAGAGGGGTTCTGACTTTTTCTCTCATTGACATTTTTGTGACTCTCCAGAAGCATACAGCATTTTGCAGGACAGAGTTAGAGCCATGGTGGGTTGAGTAATACTCTTGTCTCTCACACAAGATGCTGCCATAAATAAGTAAAATGAAGAATCCAGAGATGAGCTGCAAGATGCTCACCTAAAAATATCGGTGATAATCTATTATTCATGCTTGATATTCATTCCCCCACCCACTGACAGATCTGAGCTGTTATGACGGGATGGTGGAGGGGGGGTTTTCAGACAGGCCTAGTCTCAGCATCTTTTCTTTGTGATACGCTTGCCCTGCTCACGTGATCATCTTCCTATTGATCCAGCAGCCACTTCCTTGTGCCAGCTGACATGTTGTGCTGCTATTTCTGATGTTTCCATCCGCAAAAAGTTGCAGAGGTGCCACTGAATAAGCATCTGCCACTGCATGTAATGTCTTGATTCCCCACCATGACACATAATACAACAGCCTGCTGGGGCCCAGCAGCCAATGCTGACCAGAATAGTAAACAGGGACTTTGTCTATGGAACAGTTTGGACAGAGATTGATGTCTGGTTTCTAATAGCAGGGCTGAAGTCATCCACTCCATTTGCTAGCTGGCACTTTTCTAATTTTATTTAAAGCTATTCTTTGTAGCATTAAGTTATTAATGTAGGAAATAAAATCTTTGTAGTCTGTCTGAACCCCTTTTAGCAGCATTATTTCCAGAAAGGAAATTAGCGCAAAGTGTTTTCCATTTGCACTCTGAGCATGCTGTGTAACATACAGAGAGGGAAAGAAAGAGATCGGCGGTGACATGCTAACATTTGCATCAGGATTCACCCTGTAATCAAGTCATTTGTGCGGATAATGATATTTCTGTTGCCTGCATGGTAATGGTGGTGTTTATTAGGTTTAGTCTTTTAAAGTTCTCTGTATTTACCGCTGGCACGCTGTTTTTATTCTGTCTGCAGTACAATTGTAAAGACACTGTGTAATTCGCTCACTATTGTGTTCACAGAAAGGCTTTAAGCTCCGAATTTAATGACAATATGTTGTTTATTTGATCTTTTTTGTGTTTTTTATTTTTTATTTTTTGCTTTTTGGTGTGACAAAACCACCATCGCTATAACCTTTTGTTTGTGTTTCTTTGTGCTAAATTTATTATATTTGCCTAAGGGAAACTGAATTTAATCTGTTTTTCTTCAGTCTGGAAATTGTACTATTTTGACTAAAGTATTGTCCAGGTCAGGGCAAGTATAAAAAAAATAACCATGGGGGATATATTCTTATTTTTCAATAATATATTCACCCATGGTCTAAATATGGCAGCCATTCATCTGTACATCCATATTTGTCCTTAAGAATAACTCAGATTTTAGGGTGAGAAATGTACTGAACACAGTTTTATGCCAACAGTGTTTTTTTCTGATATTTTATTCTCTTTAAGTATCCTGTAAAGAATCTGCCGAAGGACTATTAAAATACTTTAGAAAGAGTGTTGCCAAAGATACACAATAGTGTTTGATACATTTATCGGCATCCCTGGTAAAGAAGCCTTAAAACAAATGCATTTTTTCTTACTTTGATTAATCATATAAATACAATCCTTTTGAAATTGTATTTAGATGAATGTTTATTCATTTTTAGAATTGGACTTGTGTTTGCATGTTTGTGTGGATATTTGGTGAAAAGTTCTACAAGCAGCACTTTTGGACTGCAGAGTGAGTCCATTATTGATGACAACGGGGGCGGTGATAGCACTTTCTCACAAATGCAGTAAATCAAATAGAAGGACCTAAGCAAACAGTTTAACTTATATATATCATTACTGCTGTTATCGAGATTCTTTGATTCTTTACTCTTTACTGCAGTTCTTTAACTTTGATCATTGATTCTGATAATGTCTTTTTCTCCCCTAACCATTTTCCTTACTGTGTGGTGAGACAGATTACAGTCCTAATCCACCCTAGTGTCCATTGGCTAAAAAAAGAACTCTTTCCTATCATCTTTTTTTTCCAGAGCTGAGGGGAACAAAGATAACTTCCTATAAACTAAAAAGATTAACATATAGATATATATTATTCCTGTTTTAAATGGATGATTACCAGCAACAACAACTGTGCCACTAAAATCCGAACATTATATTCCCCCCAGTGATGCTAAGCAGGAAAGTTGAAGATATATAGATGCTGCTTTTTTTTGTTTTATAAGGGTCCTGAAAGCAATGTAATCTTATTTTGATGGGAAATGCCTCCAGTAAAGTTTTGCTGTTCACTTTAATTTTTCCTCCATTTGATGTCGATATTTAAATCATTTCTCTCAACATCAAGGCATCATTTTCCCATGCGCTTCACAGAGCCAGGCAGGACACCAAATTTCACAGCTTCATCTGAAGAAAACATGGGTGGCTGCCTTTTTTAAACAAATCTCTACAATAAACTCACACCTTGAATGAATAATCAAACTCCCAGGCTTTGGCTGGATATAATTTATTGGTTATTGTATGTAAATGAGTGCAGAAAGTTCTTAAGGTGTGAGGCTAATCGTTTATAGCAGCGTCCTCCTGCATGTTTACACCGGACTAGTGGTCATCCAAGGTCCTCTGAAGGAAATCTGGCCTAATTAACATAAAACTGGGTTCCTAGGGACCAGGATACAGTGGGTGACTGATCTTGCCTCTGGTAAGGACATGTTGAGGGCAGCCACTAACATGCTGGTGTTAATTGTTTCCAGTGGAAGGCAGTGTTTAAGGCCCAAACGTATTAAAAATAGCCACGGTCTAATGAAGAAGTGACAGTACAGCATTTGTTGGAGGACTAGTTTTTTTTTGCCAACGATGACAAAAACCACGACCAGCTATGACTTGGGCCTTGATAATCACAGGGGTAAAAGCTGACAGGGGGGAGATGTCTGACAGCAAGGTCTCATCTCATCACTTTTTTCAGATTAGGAGGTGAGTTTGGATGACTTCCCACTATCGATTGGTGGGGACTGATGATCAGATCTAATTTACAAAGCTTCTGGAGACCTGTTAGACTGGGAATCTGTCGAGGCCTTGATAAGCAGCCAAGCAATCTGTAGTCCTATTATTTTAAACTTGTGCATTCAGTATTAAGAAAGATAAAGCCTTTCTTTTAAATAAAGCCTGGGAAAGGTAAAACCTTTTATCTTTATTTATTCAGTCCATTCTGGTAATTAAAAAATATACTTTTGAAAGTGTAGCAAGCCACCTTAGTGAGAAAACACTACTGGATTCAGCAGGAATTTAACTAATATACTCTTTGAATGGGGGCTTTAATATTGAAAAAACCGAAAAGCAGTAATTTCTTAAATATTTGAATTGCCACCATTCAAATAATTCCTTTTTTATAGGATTTAATGTGTCGGTACAACAAACCCCTACTATTTAGGGCCCATATAGACATCATCTTTGTTATTCTTCTTTTAAATTAGGAAAATTCCAATAAATATTAGCGCCAATTGCGTTGATGCACACTTGAGTGGATAATATTGTAACTGTCATAAAATCACTGCACACAAATATAAAAAGAGGTTGAAGCATATAAACTTGTCATTGAGGTTTAAACCATGTCTTATAGAAAACTGTCTTCAAATAAAATCCACCAGTCTGAATACTGGTTACAATATTTGTTTTGGCTCCAGGCTTTAATTTGTTTTTGACATATCACTGAGGACAGTTGGCACATTTGTTAACTTCTTTAATTACTGGTTGTAAACCACTTAAAACACTTAAAACAACCTTGTTGTATTTACACTTCCATCCTATATATATATACAGTGTATATATATATATATATATATATATATATATATATATATAATGTATCCTTTTTGGATTTGAGTCTTGTTCTCAAGGCAATGATTTATATCTACCTACAACATGTAAATTTATCTTTGAACAAAGCGGCTATGTGTGTTACTGAGAACATGAAAAATCTAATTTCTTCAGCTGTTTCTGCCAACAACGATAACAATAATCTTCATAATAGCTATTATTGTTGCAGGAAAAAGCAGTTAATACTACTGACTGCACTTTTAGTAGATAACCTAAGCATTTCATATTTGTTTTGCATTTGACAATCGGATCAAACTAAATCGTGGCTTTATTTGAATAGATAAACCATCAAAAGCTATTCCATAGTTAAAACATTGGTTTATTATTGAGACAGAGAACTTAAAGGACGTGCCAAATTGCCTACAGTAGTGGTCAGGATTCACTGTGAGAGCAACACAGATAAGATATTATGTCAAAGAATAAGAGGGTAAAAACATCGTGTTTTGATTTGTTATTGTTTATCTGGTCTAATAGTCCTCATGTTTCTTTTTTTTTCCTCCACAGCCATGCTTGTGTCATTCGCGGGCAGGTAGTCACCTCCGATGGAACCCCGCTGGTTGGAGTTAATGTCAGCTTCATTAACAATCCGGCTTTTGGTTATACAATTACCAGGCAGGATGGAAGGTAAAAAATTATTTTTTTTTTTTCATTTTATCACAGACACAAACATGCACGCATTTAAACAGCTACCAAATCAATACTCTAAAAAGACACAAACAGCAATTTGAACATCTTTGAAAAAAAAAAATGTCATTGATATTGATGTTTTTGTTGTTATTATGGTTTTGCCTAATTGCATTGACTAAAAGCACCAAAATCACCCCCATACACTCTGCTGCTATTGATCCAGTTTGTACTTTTGCTGGGTTTAATTTGGAATTTGTGGCTCAATTCCCAAAGAAACCAAACAAACCCCTTCTGCTCTGCTCGCAAGTTCTGCTCTGGTTGGAGCAGAGGGGTGGCAGAGTAACATGTGCCAACTCAGAATGCACTACAGATGGCTATAATTAGATGATGGTGGAATCAGGCATTGAAGAATGAAATGTATAGTTGCTTAATACCTTATGTTATTACATTTATTCTCCCAAAGTATTGATTCATTTTGAAGGTCTTTTTTTCGTAAGAAGACAGTTCCTGTTTTACATCTACAGCTTTTCTATATTTATAAAAATAAAGATATAAACCTGTAGTGATGATAAAATATGCACTTAGATTAAAGTTTTGCACAAAAATATTTGTTTAACTCTTCTTTTTACAGGTGCGGGTATAAATTTATAGACAATATCAGTATTTTGTTTTGTTTTTTAATAAGCATTAGGAGCACTTTTTCATTCATTGTGCATCTTCTCTGACCCCAAATAGCTCAAAGTTATACAAACATACTTGAATATAAACTTAGCTCCTACTATTCCACCACAGTGGTAAATCTTCTGGCATAATTCTTGCCGGGTATTTATATATTATTATAATGGAACTGGTGGGGTTAATTCAGATCGGTTTCCTATCAAAGATACTGTCCATATTTTCAACCTTAATGTTATTCTGCTATGTCAGTTTATCATGTGGATAGAACCCCTAATCAAGTATAAGTTTCGATTCAGAATTTTTTTCTTTTTGGTTTGAGATGAGGTGATGTTTAAGAAAATCCTCTACCCTCATTATACATCCACCTTGTGCAATGAACCAGAACCGATGGTAGCAGAACAGCCTTATAGACTTCATATTGCTACTCCTGGGCTTAAGGGTCGGGAGAGTCTTTCAAAGCTTAAGCTTGACTCCCTTCCAGTGTTATCCACATTGTAATAGACATGAAACATCCAACCCCTCCCAAAAGTTGTTTAAAAGATTACATCATCTTCCATCTAAACATGTAAAAACGACAAATGTAAAACATTGGTTAAAAAGTGAAAGGTATATAAATATGTCCACTAAATAAATTGATTTTCTTTTCATTTTTGTGATGAATTTAGAGCCAAGGCAAGGCAAGGAAAATGGATTCGTATAGCACAATTCAGTACAAAGACAATGCAAAGTGCTTTACATGATTACAATATAGGAAAATAAAACAGAATCAAAGCAAGTAGGGAAAAAAATATCAAAATAATAATAATAATATTGTTTTTTTAACTACATAAAGTGAAAAGCAGAAAATATTAAATTAACCTACAAATATGCCCATAGACTTCTAGTATGGGAGGATAAGTGTCTCAAACATCATAACAGATTTTCTCTCCTCTGGTAGGGACATGTGGGCCAGTTGGTTGAAACTTAAACATAACTGCATTGTTAAACAAAATAATCCTCCCAAAAAATGGCTTTTGGAATCAATAAAAGCTCATTTTAAGCCTCTGCAATGGCCCTTAAAAAAGCATTTAGTAAAATGTTTATCACTGTGCTTAAAAACCTGCCTGAGTCAATGAAAAATCTTGTTTAATCATAACCATGCTCTGACCTTGTCGGAGGCTATAAATGTGTGCTGTAAGTGTGCAGCTTATCTATGGACATTAAACGTGCATTAAATCAAATTATTAAAATCATTTCTTATATTGCAAAGTTACATTTAATTGTGTAATCATTTTTGTGGTATAATTCCACCTTTGAAAAAAAAGTTTTAATTGCACAATTTAAAGCTCAACATCTAATCCATTATTAATTGAATTCAGCATCTCTGAAATGATTTTAGTCAAAATGAATTCAGAAACCACCTGTGTGGCTTTCTGTGAGCTGCTCTAAAACATTTGTGTTTCTCAGGCAAGAAATCCAGAATAAATCTTTCGAATGGATGAAATTTCTTCCCTGGAAAAAAAAAAGAAAAACCCTAAGACTAAAAAAAACCTCTCTTAAAACTTTACTTTGTTCAGGTATATAGTTTGGGATAAGATTGCACACGCTTGCTCAACCCTCCTTCTTATATCTGTTTAAGAAAGGCTTGATAGCAGAGCAAGCCTCTGTGTCAGCACAGTGTGAATTGCTGTTCTCTTCAAGCCCCATTTCTTCCTGATACTTTAAATATAGTTGATATGTATGGTCTTAATCTTTTTTTTAACAATCACCATGTTCAAATTTTCTAATTTCGCCTCATCAACTTATTTTGTCAGACTTACATTTCTTCATATTTCCCCCGCTCTAATCCCACACTATCCTTAAGCCTGTCTTGGCACCTTCCTTGAGCGCAGGTCTTATATCCTTTCAACTGCAGTGACTCCTCTCATCTTTATCTTTTCCCCATATTTATGCATGTCCCAATTTTCTCCATGCATCATTCAGCTTTTTTCCCATGCAGAGCTTTATACTCCTTTCCCCTTTCCAGCATATGTGTAAACACTTCTCCATCTCCCAGGTTCCCCCCTGTAAACATGTCCAGTCTCCGGCACCTACCCCGGCAATCACTGTAAACAGGATCAGTGCAGCGTGAAATCACAAACGCACCTGTTCACCCACTTAGAAATGAGAAAGCTGTCTCAACTCATTTCTATGATGTGTTCTTTATTTTCCAGGGGTTTAGATTTTTAAATTACCCATTACCTATGCAATCTTGAAAAGTTTCTGAGTTCAGGCAAGTGATTTGTGTAGTTTCTCTTGCTTCTCCTGTGCATTTTTTTATGTAAGCAGAGAAACAATGCAGTCCTGTTTCTTCCTCTGGATTTTCTCAGTCATGGGTAAAATGCTAAGAAGAATTACGTGGCTTTGAATGAGTCACAATTAAAGTGACAACATCTAAATGTGTCTCACTTCTTATTTATTCTGTAACATGCATGTTGCAATACCAAAATATATACAGTGACCTTTTTTTTTACGTTTTGACAGATCACTAACACATATTTCAGTATATTTTATTAGTATTTTAAGGTACAAATGAACAGGAAGTGCAGCAATTATAAAGAAAACAAAGTGGAACAATTTTTTCTCAAATAACTGTAGGAAAACGTTAAGAACAACTCTTTGTTTGCATGTTTATGTCAAACATGGTGAATGCCGTCGTGGACCCAAATGCAAAGTAGAAGGAGGCAGAGATGAGTTTTTGCTGATGCAAAGATGCAAGAAGGTAACAGTAGAAAAACCCAGGAACAAAATATAGAAAACCAAAAACAAGGAGACGCCAGTGGAAAACACACACATGAGGAGCAAAGTAACGACGTGAAACAGCTTTGAAGAACTGCGCAGGAGGTGTATATATGTGAGACAGAACAAAGACTGGGATAATCAGCTAACAGGGAGCAGGTGTGGATAGAAGCAACTAGAAGCTAGGGAAAATAGCAATACGAAAACATGACAATGCTTAAATATACCTACAAAATAATTACAATGACACAAAATTGCAGTGAAACTAAAACCTAAACAGAAACATAAACAAAGGGCGGAACCATGACTATTTATCAGTGATGTAGAAAAGGTGAAACTACACATCACCATGAATGCATCATTACGAATGGGAAATATGGTGGTGGTAGCATCATAATGTTGAAACACTCTTCTTTAAAAAGGAAGGTGATGCTGGACAACAGCACAAGTAGTGCATTCCACATATTTTGCACCAGATAAGACCAGAAAGATGTTAAACATTGTATTTAAAAGGCTCTGTTTATCAGTACAAGCCATGTGGGACATGTAGCAAGCAGGTGGAAGAAAGTGCCTCTGGTCTGACAATATGTAGTACCTTCAGTGGAAATATATGGAGGTAGCATCATCATACTGTTGGTTCTTTTACCACAGCAAACACAGAGAAGATACCTCGTTCTATAAGGAAGTTGGGTGTAAAAAATGGCAACCTTTGATTGAGAATGTTTTATCAGTAGGAGAACAACCCTAAAGAAACCACAAGAGCTACAATGGAAGGTTTGAGATCAATGAAATGCGTATTAGTTTAAATTACCCAGTCAAAGTCTACAAAGCAATCCAATTAAGAATCCAGAATATGTAGAATACTGTTTACAAACACCCTCTTAGCTAATATGCATTGTAGAATGGGCAAACAACTGTCTTTAGATGTGTAAAGCTGAAATACCCCCAAAATATCAAGCATTAACTCAGAGAAACTGAATAGAAAGGCATCCTACAGTGTTCAGATTTCTTAAACAATTTCAAAACAATATAACCTTTCCTTCTTTTTCACAACCAGATATTACTTTATATTAACCTTTCACTTGAAAATACAATACATTTTATTGAATAAGATAAAAAAAAGTATTCTTATATTCTTATATATAATGTAAAAAAGAAAGAAAAATCAAGATTTTTTTGATACTGCAAGGATTTATAACACAAAGCTACCAGGGTTTCTTGTTACCATTTATTTTCCAAATACTTTTAGTCCGTTAATTAATCACATCTACTAAATCCAGTAATTGATTGGCTACCCTGCCCACGGATATTTGACCACAAGTGTCCAATGTGTGCTTAGCCTGCCTAGTGTCATGCAAACTGACAGGCTGCGAATGCCAGATCGCTCATGGGTCACAATATTACATTGGCATTGTAACAACAGTGTAGCTCTGCAGCCTTTTACTGCACACACCGCTCACACCCAGTCAAGGTTGAACCGCAGTGTAGAGCAAGCTATTATTTTTTATCCCCACAAATATTCAGATGCTTAGCCTCAAGGGAAGCGCAGCATAGCACATTTTTTTTATAGTACCTTAAACCAACAGGGATGCTGCCTATTTTAGAGGCTTCTGTTTGGACCTACTTCTTTACCTGTAATTTAGCAAAGGTGCCTCCTGTGTGAGGATGCGGGAGGATATGGCCCCGTCCCAGGGGCCTGTAGGTGACCAGGTGCTAATTGGTTCTTAGCGAGAAGTGACAGGAGCTGCAGAAGTCCGGCGCAGGTGCTGCCATGTTGTTGTCACAGTGCAGGCTGTTTACTGAAGCTAAGGTCAGAGCAGAGGCACAGGCCCTTTTAATGCAACAGCAGATGGGATTGCATTGCAGGGCTTTTAGACTGATGTTAGCACGGACAGGCTTCGTCCAAGGGATCAATAAAGTAGTGGCGGCTGTCTCCATCCCGCAGTGCAAAGCTCTCTCCCTGCACATATAAATGCAAACAGAGGAGTTCAGCTTTTCTCATACATGTAACAAACAGTTGCATCTGAAATGTGCAATTTTCTGTTCTTAAAATAATGTATTCAAACAGTGATAGTGAAATTACATGCAGTTAAGAATGAGATCCATATAAGCCCCGTTGCATATTCAGTATGTGTGTGCCTGAGAGATTGCTTAATAATACTTAATTCTGAAAATAATCCTTTCTTAATGGCCTTCATTTATTAACCCATTTTTCATTACTCCCTGACTCATTATAACAATGACAATATAAAAGACAAAATGGGAATCAGTTCATCCTCTCTGACATTGTTCGCATCTGTTTTTCCAGTTTCGACTTGGTGACCAACGGGGGCATAGCCATAGCCCTGCACTTTGAGCGCGCTCCATTCATCACCCAGGAGCACACTCTGTGGTTGCCATGGGGACGGTTCTTTGTCATGGACACCATTGTCATGCGGCACGAGGAAAATGACATCCCGAGCTGCGACCTCAGCAGCTTTTCCCGGCCCATCCCTGTGGTGTCCCCGGCGCCGCTCACAGCCTTCGCCGGCTCCTGCTCAGAAAGGGGGACAGTGGTGCCCGAAATCCAGGTGATGCCTCGCCTCCCGCTCTACTCACTTCCCTGCAGGAAGGACCTAAGTGGGTCTCTCCTTCAAATAACTCTTCCCTAACAGCTGGGAGAAGATTGTAACATTATTCATAAACTAAAGTGGAATAGAGACCATGGCTCTTGGCTGTACTGTCATTTATATCTCTCTTGTAAAATTGGCCAAATTAAGCAGTGTTCCTAAGAAGGCTGACAAAGTCTAAAAGAGGTTGAAATGTAGTTTTAGACAGGGCCAATATTTTCATGTGTACAGGCTATTTCTTGCCTGTGGTCTAAAATCTTTAAACCTTTTTTTTTCCATACTTCTATCTCTATGTTTGCATAGATATGGAAAACATAGAATTATGAAGAATATAGTCTAGAATATAGTATATCTGGTTTTGCAAACCTTATAACTTATTTACTGCGCAAAAGCTGGTTTCTATCATCCATAAAAATCATAGTAAGCAGTAAAAATTGTAATTCAGAGAATTTTTGTTGCATTAACACCATGCTGGTGTTGTTTTAAATACATCAAACCAGCCCATGCCCTGTTACAGTGCAGATTTCCCTTGGGGGGGTGTGTGCACTCAGACAAAGCATAATGTCGATCACAGTCAACCACCAGCTACATTCCAAAATGACTCATGTATTATTTTGGTGTTTGTCAAGAGAATTTCATACTAAAATACTATTAAAAGCAGGACTTTGTGAGTGGGTTCTATACGTTTGAGATGTTTTTAGCCATGCATCTAGCCTCAATCAAATGAATGGTTTGGCCTAAGAATATTCTTTTGCTTAGCATCAATAAGGAAGAACTCAGCAAATTGTAGGTTATTCCTTTAAAACATGCTCTCTGTGCATCAGGATTTGCTTTTAAATATCCCACCCACGCAGTTATTGGTGGCTCGCACACATCTGCATGTTTTGTGTGTGTAATCACACATATGAGCATCTGTGCAGTTCAGCTAGTTGATTCTATATGTCTGCAGGCATATCGCTGTCCTTTAAATAATTAATATCATGTCTAAAAATGTTGTATTCAGTTGAATCTATTTATAGCAGCTCTGACTTTTGTTCATATTCAGATCGTGCCACAGAAAGACAACATCCTTGTTCGCTTACAAAAAGGAATTTTGATCAGTCAAGCGCAAATAGCTGCAATCTGTAAACATTTAAAAATAAATACATCGGAAGTGACATGTCCTCTGACCAATGTCGCTTTGAGCAGCTGTTTTGATTGCTGCTCCACATGTCGTTTGGGGCCGTGGAGACAAGCGTCAAGAGCCGATTTAATTTTAGTCAAGAGGACCAGGCCAACCAACCCGTGCTGTCAAGCCTTGAACTCAGATCTGTACACACTGTACTGTATTAAAGTGCTCATTAACAGCTTCTATCATCCAGAGGTTGTTAAAGGTCCGATCTTGGAGGAAAGTTCCTAAGGCATCACTATTGGCTGTCACTAAGCTCCATTCATAACTGAATATGTTATTGTACTGTGTAGAGTCAGAACCCTTGGGCACCCTTGCTGCGCCATTGTCATATGGATTGCTGGGGGAACTGCTCTTTTAATGAAGCATTTGAAGTTATTAAATCACTTCTCAGAAATGCTCTTTGGAGTATTTCTGAAGAAATCCTTCATCGGATACCATTTCATCCATGAGTGTAATTGTCCACCAGTTAGTGTTTTAACTTCCCACTAGTGCCCACATATGGTTTAAGGCTAGTAATGAAAAATACAAGACAACAGTCTTCCCTCTGACCGACTGACAAACATATTAATTACCAGCTTGTTAGTGGTGCACTGGTAAGCCCACACACATCAGTGGGTAATCTGAGTTTTTGTGTTTGGTAGTGGTATGTTACAAAATTAAAACAAAATAAATGCAAATGTTAAATATGCCTTTAAGCCGTATCAAACAACAAAGTAATCCTAGTTGAGTGTAGAGCTGTACCAATCCGGCTTTTCACATGTTTGCAATCGTCAATTAAAATCTAAATTTGAATAAATTCCAATTTTATTTTTTTTATAAAGTAGGAAAAAAAATGTTCTCCAGTTTCTTTGATACAGATACTGCTTAAAAAAGAAGGAATAATGAATGATATAGCATAATTAGTTTTGATGAATTTGATGAATGGCGACAAATTCTTTGATCCCTTCAAGCCTTTAGCCATCTCGCCATTAGTTAAAACTGATCAACACAAAATTAAATGATTACAATTTCAAACCAGAAGCTTTCTCTTGCCCAAAGATTTTTCCCTTCATTTGTAGTTAATTTGAAAAAGGCAGCACGGATCACATGTTGGAAGCTTTAAACTATTAGTTAAAATAAAATCCTCACTTACTTTATATTAATACTGTATTCTGTTATTATATGAATATCAATCCATCCATACAGCTTAAACTGTATCCATGTCACATTAGACCAGATTTTTACAAACCGGTCAATAAAAACAGGGACAAATATCTGCAACCACCTGCATCTCATTACTGTCAGACATTTTTTTTTATTAGTTAGGTGTGGAGTGCCCTATATCAAGAGGGTCCACTTCCAGTTTTCTAGGGCTGTTTTATTCTCTTTCCAAACCTATCCTTGCTGCATCATTGGCCAAATATCTTACTCCACAGAGGTATATTTAGAAAGTATTAATTTGTTTAAGGTGTCAAATCAGGTCAGTGTCTAAACCATACAGAACCTGAAAACTGCCTTTTTAACCAAATGTTTTGGACAATAGTCACCTTTAAAAACAGCAAAAACAAATAAAATAGAATATATATATATATATATATATATATATATATATATATATATATATATATGTGTTTTCCTTCTTAAATGAAAGTGGTGATCACCTTTGATTGAGGTATTCTTTGGCTGTGTGCACAAAGCTGCAGAGGACATCAGTGCTGTGATTGGGAATTGGCTGATTCCTGTAATCAAGGTTCTAAAGGTTTCAAGCTTAGAAACCAGTAAAATGTTCTTACTTGGAATTTTTATATAAATTGATTTTAGTACGATTGGAGAAAATGTACCAAAATGGCCAAGGTTTCTGTTGATGTTATTAATTTTGATGTATTCTGGCTAAGAATCAACCATCTGATTACTACCAGTCTGTGAGCTAGAGCTAAGGTCTAAGAAACACTGACATGGAGCTAAAAAAAAAATGCTTTATGTATCTGACTAGCAATAAAAACATGCTTAAGATATTCAAGTTTGTAAATACAATGTTTAATATGTTAAATCCTCATAGGGGGAGACATAGCAGTAGGACAGTAATATTGTGGAAAAATAGAAATTATGGTCAAGGGGATGTGAATGTAAATCTTACCTGATCCATACTTAATGTTAATGTTTGACAAAATCTGATTTAAGTTTCCCCAATGTATTAAAAAAACAACATGTAAGTGTTGTTTAGCTCTGTTTCTCTTTCATTTCCTTTTTTCCTTTCTTTCCTTTCCTTTTCCACCCTTTCATTTAATACTGTTGTGTTGTTTTGCCCCCAGTCTCTACAGGAGGAAGTGCCTATACCCGGGACAGATATGAAGCTCAGCTATCTGAGCAGCAGAACTCCAGGTTATAAGTCGATTCTGAGGGTGACCCTCACGCACTCCACGATTCCTTTCAACTTGATGAAGGTTCACCTCATGGTGGCTGTGGAAGGCAGGCTATTCAGAAAGTGGTTTCCCGCAGCTCCCAACCTCTCCTATGACTTTGTGTGGGACAAGACAGACGTCTATAGCCAGAAGGTCTATGGCCTGTCTGAAGCCTTTGGTGAGTGATGAAATATATTTTGGGTACGGTCTGTTTTTATTTGACCCAAATGACATTTTGATCAGCCCTACTATTTCGTTTTTGCTCCCTTTTCTGTAGTTTCAGTGGGTTTTGAGTATGAGTCATGCCCAGATCTTATCCTGTGGGAGAAGAGGACTGCTGTCCTTCAAGGCTACGAAACTACCGCCTCCAAACTTGGAGGATGGACAGTAGACAAGCATCATGCTTTGAATATCCAGAGTGGTGAGTTCATCCATAAATGGCCATATCCTTATCAATATTGCACTTATTAAATTGATCATTTTGCATTTTTAACATCAACAGTGTATGCCACTACAGTTGACTAATTCTAGCCAATATTCAGACTATTGCAAAGAGTGTATTAGCAATCAGGTTTCAACTAAAGCTATTTGCAAACTTATTTAAACTCCTTGAAATTAACTTTTATTAATGACATCATTTCAACAATGCTGAAGTTTCAAAATGTTCCACATCAAGTTGTTTACTAAGTTGAAAACTTGTTTGGACACCCCTGCATAACATTCAGTGCATGCATTGCCATTTATCTGAACAGATGGGTCAGGCAAAGAGAGCATTACACAAAAAAGTAGTCAAGAATATAATTTTAACTATAATGGAGCTGCAGATTATTCCACAGTTAAAATAGGATTGTTAAAACTATTAGTAACTGCTATTATTAACTGCTGAAAGAAAACCAGTTGCATTTGCCATCAGAAATACTGGAGACAGAAAAGTCATGTGATAGAAGATACACTATTTATGTAGGCATACCTGTAAAGCCCTGAGTGGAGGAAAATGTCACTCTGAAAGCACATTCAATACAGTAAAACTTGTTAGTACAACCATTATAGGGTGGATTCTTTTTGTGAAGATAATCAGAGCTAAATATAGAGATGTACTTAAAAAAAGGAAAAAGTACTTGGGTTCACTGCATGCAAGCTGAATTATTGGGGTATTTGTGCATTCACAAATTTGTAACTATTAAAGATGAACCCAAATTAGCCAGCCAATCATGCTGCAATATGGCAGTTTAAGGTGGGATGTATAGCTGTGAAAACGAAACAAAAAGCGCACAACCATGTTTTGGTTTTGCTGATCACATCTATTTTTGTCAGAATCTATGATTTCATCTTTGGAATAGTATGTTTTTGTAGTCCATTATGGCTGATATTTAATTTGTTACTGTGAATTGTTAAAGCCAAGCTTTGGTTGTGCTCAGAAGGTTTTTTCTGAACGTCCCTCCTTTCATGAACCGATTGATGGAAACAGAACCAGATTAATAATGTGTAGAATCAAACTGTGCTACACATTATTAATCTGGGTTTGGCAGGTTCAAAGTTAACCTCCATGAAGGGCAAAAATCCTTAAGATAGAGCAAAAAGCAAGTGTATGTAACATGGCCAAGTCAAAACAAAAAATCTATTTAATAGAGGATATTAAAACTTCAGAAAATAATGTCATTTAAATGTCCTGAAGTGGTAAAGAAAGCTTCAGGTGTAACTGCACCTCTACAACAAATGAAATCTTCTCTCCTCCATTTTATAGTTATTCTCAACTTGGTGTTGTTTTTTTCTTTTTTTTTCTTTTTTTATGCCAGATTAATACATTGAAGTTCGGTGTTTGCAAAATAACAAAATGTGGAAAAAGTTCAATTAATATTAAGATTTCTTTCTGCTTGCACAGAAATATATATGCCACATGTACTTTATCAGTTTTAATGCAGCAGTCAATTAACCATCTGTTCCATATGATTTTTTTTCATGCTACTATATCATTTAGCCTTAGGTAGATCTGACTTTTTATATCTGCTATACATCTTCAGGAGGAAGTGGGTCAATTTTCTTATTGCCAACAAATTACTCCTCAAAGGCAGTGTTCGGAATGAATTTTGGCAGCACCTGTCACTAGCAAGGCTTCACAGTCTGTTTTGGGGCTGGAGAGTTTCATCTAAGGAGATGAGGCATACTTGAAAATTGCTCAAAAAGGTAGCACTTTGATGTAAAAGACACCGAGCCTGGACACGGTGTCCAGAGGATCGATAGAACTGCCTCCCGGCTTTTAAAACCAGTACTGCCAGGTTCTCCACCCTCACATTGCCATCCCTTCCCCCTGTTTGGCACCTCAGAGTCTTACCCATGCCCAGCATTTTTAGAATCATCCCTAATTTAATTGCTGTCAGACTGCTGCTCAGAGCAGCAGCAGTCCCAAAGATTAAATCACATCCCAGGAAAGAGATGCTTGGCTGATCGTTTCTGATAGCCCACATGTTGTTCTGCTCTAAGGAGTCAGGTCACTGAGTACCATCAGAAGCAGAAAAACCCTCCACAGACACCCAGATGCTGAATTTCAAATATGATTACATTGACTGACCACCAGGAACATCTTTACATTTACATATTTGGGGATTTTCCAAAAAACGGATTGGCACCACTCATGTAAAAAAAGTGGAGGTTTCTGAATATTTACATGTGAACCCTTGGATTTAGAGATGGAAGAAACATGAACAATTCTGATGTAACTTATTTTTGTTTCTGTGCGATTAAGATTGGGTTTGAGAGGTGTATTTTTCTTGCTCTGAGAGATTTTACCCGAGCCACAGTTCTTGGTCCCCATTTTGGCATGAAATTGCGCCTGTGTTTTCATCCACTGTGATGACCTCTCGTCGCAAACACAGAGCTGGTGTGCAATTTCCACACCTTTAGCTACAGATACAAACCTATTTAGAATCACATCATCTTCTAATCTGTGTTCAATTATACTCGTCTCTTAACATTTGCTACCCAGTGTTGCTGCTGTGAAAAATCGAGTGTTCATCTTGATTCTGATAGTCATCGTTCTGTTATATAACAAGGAGAAATTGAGGTCTTTTGAATTGTAAATGACTTGCATAAATAGAAGCAACAGATGATGAAATTTAGACCTTTAAATCGAGATGCAGCTACCATGTCAAATTGGAAAAAATGCCTTTTAGTTTATTAAGATAATTGAGAATGATTTGGTTACAATAAATGTAATGAACTTTAAATCTGATATTTACAGCATTGTTTTATTTTTGTAATTTATGTTATTCTTTGTTGAGTTTCATTTTTTTCCTTATCATTTTATATATATTTTTAGAATTATCTCATAATTTGAATTATTAATTTTTATTATCTTTAATTATTCATTTTCATTAATTGTTTAATTACCTTTATGTCACTGCAATGCACTTTTTTTTTCTTTTTCTCATGATTAGCACTTGAATTGTCTTGCTAGTGAAATGTGCTCTTTAAATAAATGGCTTACCTTGCTTTTGTCACTATTTTCAGAGTTTTCCTCATTATATTTTGATGTTAGCATTATTAGTGAAATTATAGTAAGAGCTAAATATGTTCTGCTATGCAAAATTATAATTTTATATAGCCACAAGATTCACTACACATTTTTATGATATTTTCTAGTAGAGTAAAATAACAAAAAGTAATGCATAATTTGGAGTTGAAAGACTTGGCTGTTTATTCCTATTTTATTTCTTTATTGAACTTTATTAATCTCACACTGGAGATATTCACTCTCTGCATGTTAACCCATCCCCTTGGGGAGCAGTGGGCTGCCATTGCACTACTCTAACCACTAGGCCATCACTCCCCTGTGCAAGGAGAGCAGTCATCGCAAAAGTGCTTTCTAGTAACTCTAGATGAGCTGTAGAGAACCACAGCTCAGGTGGAAAGATCTTTTGAAAGGAGAGTTATTGTTCATGTACTTCATTTTCACTTTTTTTTATTTCACCTTTGTTTACACAAGTAACACAGTAATACAATGTGCTAAAAACACACACACTCTGTTCTGCTATATGTAGTGAGGACCATGTGTTGAATCCCCTTGACTTCTATTGATTTTTAGTCATTTTCAATAATTTCTATGCCCTAAAACTAAAATTAAACCTATCTATTACCAATGCATACCTCACCCTAACACTAACCAAATTGACACATCAGCCCTAAACCTAACCATTAGCAAAATACCTTGAGAGGACCAGCAAAAGAAATATCATCTCTTTAAAACAACTGGTCCTCATTGTTACGGTGAAATTGGAAAAATGGTCCTCACCCTGATGCGTGGATAGGCACACACACACAACACA